TCCTTTTGTTCCTAGTTCCTTGCATGTTCTGTCCATTTCTAGCGTTAACCATCTGTTAACACGAAAAGACAGACGTTAGTACCCTTTCTATACGAACCATAAGGAATACAATGAATCCTAACTTAAGTTCTATTCAAGAGAAAACGCTACGCGGAAGACTTAATATGAAAACATCCTAGAGACACTTGAACCTGGAGTGCTCTGATACCAACTGAGATACCCCTCGGATCCGAGACACGAGTTGATCAGGCCCAGGCCCAAACCCGAGGGAATATCAAACAATTAATATTTTATAATGAACACGGAATACAAAATAAATTAAGAAATGAAATTAAAGCTGGAAGGAACTAAAAATAGAATCCGCAAAATATTATAATTATTAAAATCCATCAAACCCAAACTCCAAAACTTCATCAGTTTACAACTTGGGAATCCATCTCTAGTGGACCCCTATTAAACATCTAAACGAAAGATAGAACAATTATAATAAACGTCCAGAAATAAAACTATAGAGAGAGCCCTACATCGTCGGAAGAGTGAATAGAGATCTCTGCTCAGCACGAACATGTCTAAGCCTGGAACTGTCGTGTACCTGAAAAATAGAAGTGGGTCAGGCCCACGCGCAAGTTCTATACTACTACAATCCAAACAGAGGCCCGATACGCATGTACATCCTAAACAATTCAACAATAGCTAATAGTCCGTAAATATATATATAGTCACACTAAAGGACTCTCACTGGATTACAGGCCGGTCTCAACCTGAATAGAGGTAACATGCTAAAACGCACACGAAGTGGGCATATGTACCTATACCTAAACAGGGTACACCTCCAACCATCGTAGCCAGCTACACATCCCGATGCATATACGCTTCCTAGCCATCGGTCCTGAGACTCAAGCTCATACCGAGGCACCATAACAGTACATATATAAAATCCATCCAAAATCTCTGGTATTGCCGCTCAACAAGTAGTTGCCATGACAATACAAATCTACGGGACTTAACTTTTAGTTAATCCCATCCTTATTCCAAGTAGGTGGGTAATGGTATTGTTTTAAAAACCAAACCCATTCCTAGTATGCCACCGTCCCATACCGGTGCCTATTTTCCAATCATCCTGTAGTCAATAATACCAATAAATCAAGTATATATCAACTAAATTCCAACATCCAACATTCAATGTTAGCAGTAATAAAATAAGCATTGATAAACAGGGTCACAACAACAACATATACATGCCCAATTTAAGTTGTTCCCTTTAGTCTGATATAAAGACAGAATTAATTAAAACTTCCATTTAACACCTTACAAATGACATACAGATATGTAGGGTATGTATCACAAAATCCTAACCTCCACAGTTGATACTAACTGTGATAATGTAAGCATCAGAACAATATTTACAGTATGTATGTAGACATGCTCAAATTATAGTGTTCCACAAAACCGATCTAGTGTTAAACTTAAATCCTCCTAGTATCTAAGTTCCAACAGTTGCTATTACAGAAGTTAAGATAGCTATCATCTAGACCCATCCTTCCAATAATTTATACTAGCAGTGGTAAGGAAAAACGTGAACCACAGAACCACAATGCATCCACAAACATGCTTAGTCTAGGTTGAACAAGCATACAACACTATTGTAACTACCAGTTTCATAGCAAAACAGATATCATTTTAGTTTGGTTTAATCTTCATTAATCCTGAAATCATTTAAGAGTGCAAAGAGTATGAAGCCTAAGGGAAAGAGTAAGGATAGAATCTTGCCTCAGAAACTTTTGTTCAAAGTTTCAACGTCGTCTTCTTAAAAAAAAATCCCGGCGAGTTCCAAAACCCGGTTACTATTCATGAGTACGAAACACTATTCTCAAACTCAAAATCTGATCTCCACCGTTCAGATTGTGCGACACTGAGTCATGAACCTATCCTCCAAATTTCAGCTCGATCGGACCACGGATGAAGCGGGATCGGATGTTTGATGAAATCCGGGCATAATGGGAAAAACCTGTGCGACCCAGTTACTGTTCACGAGTACGAATCACTGTTCCCGAGGTCAAACTCTGATCTCCACCGTTCAGATTGTGCGTCACTGAGTCATGAACCTCTCCTCTAAAATTCAGCTCGATCGGACCACGGACGAAGCGGGATCGGAGCTTTGATCAAACCTTGGCAGAATGTGAAAAACTGCGTTTTTCCTTCTCCACTTCCACAAAACGTGTGCTTTGTTTAAAAAAAACCCTACACAGACGTCTACCTTATACTTATAGAGTTTTCCTAAACCCTAAGTTCATTTAAGTCCAACTCACAATCCTAATCGGCCCATCTAATTAACGTAGAAACCTACGACGGCTATAATATAAAACCCTAATTTATACTGTAATTAAAACCCTAGTTAGATGTATTTACCTAATTACCCTATTCACCATTAAATACTTAACAAATAATCTAATTGAACAAAATAATAATTAGTAAATCCAATTAAACCAAACAAGACACACATAAAATAAGACACACATAGAATAATTAAACCAATTACACTTAAACCATTAATGCCAATTAAATAATTAAAACACTAACAAGTAATTCCAATCAAATAACTAAACCAATTACACTTAAACCATTAATGCCAATTAAATAATTAAAACACTAACAAGTAATTCCAATCAAATAACTAAAAATAAATATCATTTAAATAAATTAAATCACCACAAAAGAAAACAATTAAGCACCTAATAAAAAAATAATAATGACACATAATCAAATAAAATGCACTTAAATAATAAATTAAATATCATTAAATACCAGGAATATCCTTTTTAAAATTAGGGGTATTACAGCATGCCAGCAGGGCAGCTTGCCAAATAAAGGCAGCATGCCAGCAGGGCAGCTTACCAAATAATGGGAGCATGCCAGCAGGGCAGCTTGCCAAATAAAGGCAACATGCCAGCAGGGCAGCTTGCCAAATAAAGGCAGTATGCCAGCAATGCAGCTTACCAAATAAAGGCAGCATGACAGCTTGCCAAATAAAGGCAGCATGTCAGCAGGGCAGCTTGCCAAATAACTGCAGCATGCTGGCAGGACAGCTTGCCAAATAACGGCAGCATACTGGCATAACAGCTTACCAAATAAAGACAGCATGCCAGCAGGGCAGCTTGCCAAATAACGACAGCATGCCAGCATGACAGCTTGCCAAATAAAGGTAGCATGTCAGCAGGGTAGCTTGCCAAATAACGACAGCATGCTGGCAAGGCAGCTTACCAAATAATGGGAGCATGCCAGCAGGGCAGCTTGCCAAATAAAGGCAGCATGCCAGCATGACAGCTTACCAAATAAAGGCAGCATGTTAGTAGGGCAGCTTACCAAATAACAGCAGCATGCTAGCATAACAGCTTGCCAAATAAAGGCAGCATGCCAGCAGGGCAGCTTGCCAAATAAAAGTAGCATGCCTGCCAAATAAAGGCAGCAGGGCAGCTTGCCAAATAACGTCAGCATGGCAGCTTGCCAAATAAAGGCAGTATGTCAGCAGGGCAGCTTGCCAAATAACGGCAGCATGCTGGCAGGGCAGCTTGCCAAATAACGGCAGCATGCTGGCAGGGTAGCTTGCCAAATAACGGCAGCATGTTAGCATAACAGCTTGCCAAATAAAGGCAGCATGCCAGTAGGGCAACCTGTCAAATAATGGCAGCATGCCAGCAGGACAGCTTGCCACGGCAGCATGGCATGGCAGCTTGCCACATAACGGTAGACTACCAGCATGGCAGCTTGCCACATATACGAGCTGCCAATGTGGCACTACGACAAATATACAAACTTGCCAATATACGACAAATATACGAGCTTACCACATATACGAGCTGCCAATGTGATACTATGATCCCCGACTGTATTCGCGAAATGACAATATAAGTCAGGCTAATGGACAAGGCTCTGCAATTTTAACTATATATTATTATGTAATATTTTGGAATTAACGTTCCGGTGGTTTGACAAGCAATCCTCCGAAACGAGGGGCAACTGATGGATGTATAATTTAAATATTCATAATTAAGGGAAGATTGCTAAATTAACGCACTATTGAGATAAGATCTGTAGATTACGATAAGGATTACAGATTGAGATAGGCTTTACAGATTACGATAAGGATTAAAGATTACGATGAGGATTAAGTCTACAGATTACAATAAGGTAATTTTACGTGACATCTTAACCTAAGCCCTATAAAAAAGGGGGGTAATCAACGTTTGGAGGTACGCAAAAAACCCTAACTCAAGTTCTTGATTTCTCTTAAGAGATTAGTTCGCACACTGACTTATTCGTCGGAACCTACTCCACCGGTAACACACCGGTACTTGTAGGATCACCTTTTCTTCTCTCTGTCCAGGAAATTAGATCATATCCGAGTTGCACAGAATCTATCATCAACAATCTCCTTTTTCTTTTCTAAAGGACAAAATTTTTCTCTTTAAATTTCATAGCATATTTACATCTTTAAGAATTTAAAGGATAACTTGTTCATTCAATCAACAAATTTATTGAAAAAAAAGAGAATTATCTTGGAAGAAATAATATTAATAAGTAAATGAAGGAAAATTTTATATTCTTCTACCTATTTGATTAGGATGAAAATTTTCAAGAAAATAAAATTTCCATTACTTGAAAAAAGAGAGCATAATTTCTTGGGTTTTCTACCCGATAAATTTGGAAGAAAATTAAATAGTTATCCGGATGACATTGTCAAAAATAAAAAATTCTTTTCGCTTTCCAAACTCTTAAAAAGGAATCTTTTATTTCTTAATTTTCTTTTTATAACTTTCCATATGAGCTTTTAAACAAGTTTCCTAAAAGAAATCATTAAACTTTTTATTGTCACTACTAATAAATCATAAGATAATTAATAAGTAATCATACCAATGGTATGCAAGAGAAATAGATACCATACATGTCAACATAGTCCAGAGTAATAGGAAGACAAAGTAAGTAGTAACAGCTATCAATTCCTAAGAAAAATTAAGTTCCATAAAAAGTGAATCGAGATCAAAACCACCCTTGCATAGTTGTATATACCTAATCCATCTAACCTCCTATTTAACACACTTATTTATTTATTTTTAATCTCTCTCTCCCCTCTCCTCTCGTCTGTCTCAATTAGGGCAATATAAGAAAAGGGCATCAAAAAGAGCATCTCTCTGGTTTCATTCGAGAAATCTGAACAGTTGAGTGAAAATTACAGCTAAAAGAATCAGACCCAACACAGAATCAACCCATAATGTGATATAATTATCTCTTTTTGCTTGTATAAACATATAGATTTTATATATTGTATGAATGGACATGGATAACATTGAATGCATATCATCCTCGGATGGTTTGGATGAGGATGAGATCCATCAACATCATCACCCTCAGTTTTCGTCCTTGAAGCCTCACAATAACGTTGTCTCTTCCACGATCCATCCAACCACAAGCGTTCATGAGCTTCTCGAATGCCCAGTTTGTACCAATTCAATGTACCCTCCAATACATCAGGTTTGTTCTATATTGAATGTAAATTAATGGGTTCTTGTTTTTCTTTATCCTTAATTGTGCCTTTTCGATTGTTTGCGGTTGGATTTTTCATGAATTGGTTTCATTTGATGTGGAGGTTCTCGGGAACCCTATTTTGATGTATCATGTGATGCAAGTTTGCATTTTTAAAAAATTGTTTACTATAGTTCTTTAATTTCCTCAGGTTGATGATTGGTTGGTTGGGGTTTTGAAATTTTTTGTAAAAAATTAGTTAGTGTCTTGGGGGTCAATTTTATGGAGAATGCTGCATTCTGTTTGAAGACTGTTGTTGCATGAATTCATTTGTGGGACTTTTGTTGATTGGTTGATTTAATTGAGTTAGATTGTTCGGGGTTTGGTTATTTGATCTTATGGTTGGCAGGAAGAGGGCACCATGAGGTAAAGGTTAAGTACTGTACATATGCCCATAGGTAGGGTGAATGAGGATGTTTGGGGGCTTCTTTTTTTTTTAATAGTTTTTTTGGTTTTTTGTGCTGGACCATGTTACATCTTCTTTTAATTACTGGGATAGATCTGATCGCAAACTATGATGATGAATTTCAAAATGGATCTTCTATAAGTGGGAAAATTAGGAAGTAACAATTTGAGTAAGGAGCATATAGGACATCAAATGGGAACCTCACTAATGCAACATAAATTTTGTGTGAGAGGGATTATGAGTTTACATACTCCCCCAAAGAAAGAGAGATGGACTGCCCAACTATCTAATTGTTGTCATGGTTTCTTGAATCCTGACACCAAGAAGAGGCATTTCCAAGTATACAAGGGGAGCAATTGGACCCGACTATATAGGAAGACAAGATTGAGAGTTTGGAGAGAGTGAGAACTCAATTGTAAGATTTGTGGGTACAATTTGATAGTTTGGCATTAAGTCACATAATTCATTTGACAGAGTGGCGATTCTGCCCCCTGCGCACATATTTATGAATTGGGAGTGAATCCGTGGCAAATTTGCGGAATCAATATTTAGAATCCAGAGATTCACTTTTTTAGTACGCACTTCAAAACGATTTCCATCCAGTAGCTGCCACATGAGCATCTTTTAATGGAGCTCTCACCTTTTCAATGCAAGAGGCTCGTTATCCAATTGCCGCGTGTGCGCTTTAGGTTATAAATTGATACATTAAAAGAAAATTAATGATTGAAGTCTTGAAACTGACCACTTTGACAACTCTCCCTTCTGATATGTATTATACTATGACAAATGTTAACTACATTATATATATTAACAAAAACATTATCAAAAATATATTATATTAATTAAAAAATATGCACCAAAAATAAAATTTAATAAATTAATATAATTATATTTCATCTAAGATATGTACACATACATATGATATATAATATACAAGCGCTCTCGAGGCGATCCCACTCTCATTAATTTTGGACTTTGGTGCTATCTTGTTCTCGCTTCGGCTATGTGTGATTACACATAGCTTTTGCAGCCACATTATAGTTTTCTGCAATTGTACAGTGAACTTTATTGATCATCTTTGCTTGTGGATGTAGGCCTTAGTGCTAGTATTTTTTTTAACGATCCTTTGTGAACTGGCCTCATTGACATTACTTCTGAATAACATACTCAATGACTGTGCAAGTGTCATTTATTGCATAAGCCTTAATTACAGTGATTGAATCATATGTTAACATTACTATCATGGCGAGGACTACTTTCTTTTCTTTTGGGGTAAGCTTCAAGGACTATTTTTGCTTTCCAACATCTACAATTACACCTTATGAAGTCACATAACTAGCTGGTGAGAAAGGCCATTGCAATGCAGTGTCGTGTAATCTGTTGGTAGTTGGCACTGCTAATGGGTCTGAGAGACTCTCGCTTGTATATTTTATAGAACAATATCTTCTGCTGCTTTAATATTTGAAGAACAACGGCAAACTTTCTTTTTCCGTTATTTTTCTTCTATTTTATCTTATTGAAAGGGTTGGGGGTGTTCAGGAAAGGATACTAAATAATTGCTTCTTTTTGTGAGAATAAACCGTGAATTGCTTGTGCCTTTTTGTGTGGTGATTTTGTGGTGAAAAGGTTGGACTTAGACCAGCATTACAACAATTTTTCACTTGTTGAAAATTGGCCTCAGTAAATTTGTGACCTTAAAGCACATTGCTGATTCACAACCTCTGATAAAGTTTGATTGCTTTCATCATCCAAAAGCTTCTTTTTTTTTTCTTTTTCCCTCTCAAGATAAGGAATTTGGAGTCTGTTGGTACTTCATAAGGATTATGCTAATGGGAGTTTTGAAGGAGTAGTGATGGGTGTCTGGGGTATTGGGAGGTCATTTCTGTGTTTCCTTTACAATTGAGCAGTTTGTTCTTAGTTTTCTAGTGAGATGATGTGGAATAAATTCTGTGTATAAATGTCACAGTAAGAGTTCGTCCTGCATTTTATTGCTTCCATTCCTTATATTGTACAAAGTTATATTTTATCATTGCTGGTGTTTGATACTCTGATTTTGATATGGCTTCCCAAAGCTGTGAACGAGTGGCTGGGCTGAACTGGACAAAATTATGTGGCCTTTAATCTTTTGACAATATAGGTGAAGGAACAAAAATTTTAGTGCTGCAATACGTTTCATATGCATGTTCATAACCATCTATATGTTACTCTTCATTGTTGCTCCATTTTCTATTTTTCGTTCATCTCTTAATGTAATTTATGGTCTTCTCTGCCATTACAGAATTTGCATGTTGGCTTTATAGGCTTTCCCTTTGATTATTTGTATCTTCTGGTCAAACTGAAGGTTTGAAGAAGAACTCAACTTCAACTTCAGGTTACCTCCTAGCTCCAGTTAGAATTATCGCCAATTCATCATTTCAACTCTGTATAATTGCAGATTTGTCCATGAATTGGGGTCTCTTTTGTATTCTGTAAAGTTCCCTCAATTTTTATGGTTTTTGACTACACGAAAGCTTAAACTTAATATTTAATCTCCATGGGATAGCTGAGTTGGCATAAGGTCTCTGGGCATGACCCAGAGGTCTTGTATTCAGTTCTGGAGGCGTCAAAAACTTCCTCTCTGATCTTAATCCAATATACGTGGTTTAGGGGTGATTTTGGGTATCCGAAGGGATTAGCCCCACCCTCAGAAGAGGTGGGGATGCCCTCCGTTATCTAACAAAGAGAGCTTAAACCAAAGATTCACTCGTTTATTCTCCCTTTGGCAATAGTGAGTTTTTTTTTTTTCCTAAATGGAGGAAATTTTTATGGATATGAACAATATGATACATAAGAAAAGTAGGGGCATACCCCCCACACCAAACAAAACCCTTATAGGGAACACCAAGGATAAAACCTTGAATAAGACTTGGGTAGCTAAGAAAACATTGAAATTACATCTTGCAGGAAAATACCCAATATTACTAACACTTCCCATGTTATACATTTGGTTATCTCCTTTGGACAAGAAAACTTGTTGCTGTGCAATCTATCATTCCTTTTCTTCCAAATGAAATATAGAGCATCCCTAAGTTGTCTTTAATAACTGTTGAGTTACATGCATAAATACATATACGCATTTATATACTTAAGCTCCTGCATATATAAGTACATTGGTGCTCTGAAACACTCTGGACCTGTGGTTTTCCCATGGTATTTGCTTTACAGTGTCGTTTTTTATTTTTAGATTTCCTTTCACGCAAAAACAGCAGCTTTCTTCCTTTGGATGCTGTTCTTCGAGGACTTTTTTTTGGCTTGCAATTGGCCTTAAATAGTGGTGCCTAAACCACTGTCCTTTTCTCTCATATTAACTATATAGTTAAAACAGTTACTGGGTAAATCTAATTAAGGAATCCTTTGTACCTGTGTTCTTAAATGGAAAGTCCTTTTGCGATTCCATTAATAAGTGCATATATTACCTTATGGTTGATTATATTATTCCAGCTTAAAGATTTTAGATGATTGCTCTAACAAGTTTTGATTAATGCAGTGTCACAATGGGCACACACTCTGTTCTACCTGTAAAACAAGGGTACACAACCGGTGTCCCACCTGTAGACAGGAACTTGGCGATATAAGGTGTCTGGCATTGGAAAAAGTGGCTGAATCACTTGAACTGCCTTGCAAGTATTGCGCCCTCGGATGCCCTGAGATATTTCCCTACTACAGCAAGCTCAAGCACGAGACTTTGTGTAACTTTAGGCCATATAACTGCCCATATGCCGGATCGGAATGCTCAGTTGTTGGGGATATTCCATGCTTGGTTACTCATTTGAAGGACGATCACAAGGTAGACATGCACTCTGGATGCACATTCAACCATCGTTATGTCAAATCTAATCCACGTGAAGTAGAAAATGCCACATGGATGCTCACTGTAAGTTTTTTTTTTTTCCTTGTAATATATTATTGTCTTATTTTATAAATGATGCTAATATATGACTATGATGGTCCTCAATAATAAAGTACTCATCTTTTTGGTCATCGCGCAAACCGTAATATAGATTATATGAGCCAAATTCTCTTTGTTAGGTCACAGCCTCCCCAATGCTAATGTAAACTGTGAAGGCATCCTGAAATTTGGTCCATGCATTAAATAGTGTACACATTCATAATTATTTACTGCTCAAGTAATAATAATAGTAGTAGTAATAGTTACCAAAATATTTTTAATCATAATTGTAGTAATAATGATAATAGCAATAACTAGAGTGATAATAATAGCAATACAACTACAACAACAGTAATTATTAATAGCTCTTTCTCATTTTTTATATCTTTAATACTACTAATAACTAAAATCCCAAACTTTGTTATTAAATATTATGAATGATGGAGAAATTAACTAAAATTATAAATTTGTAATCCTGATATGGACATTGGAGCCAATTAAAAACCACATAATCCCTGCAAGATACTGACTTTATTGTGGTTTATTGAAAATCTCTTTACTGCTCTAGAGTTCAAATCTTGAGCATCACAGACGAATACATCGCACATCTTTTTTGATTCTGTCTCTCTTTCAGGTCTTCAATTGTTTTGGACACTACTTCTGTCTTCATTTTGAAGCTTTTCAGCTCGGAATGGCTCCTGTTTATATGGCATTTTTGAGATTCATGGGTGATGAGACAGAGGCTCGAAACTATAGCTACAGTTTGGAAGTTGGGGGAAATGGGCGGAAACTCATATGGGAGGGCACCCCACGAAGCATCAGGGATAGCCACAGGAAAGTTAGGGACAGCCACGATGGGCTGATTATACAGCGTAACATGGCACTTTTTTTCTCTGGGGGGGACAGGAAAGAGCTAAAGCTTCGAGTAACAGGGCGGATATGGAAGGAACAGCAGAACCCAGATGGCGGGGCATGTATACCTAACCTCTGTAGTTAAGGCTGCTGGTTGGTTCTTTCTGGATTGCTCTATGTTGTGTGGAATTTATCTGCTAATATTATCAGTGGATAGAGATGTTGATATTTTTTGAAATATGTATGAAACTTGCTGCAAGTTTCAGCTTTTATACATTGTTTCTGAAGGTTCTTTCCTTGTTAATATCATCAGTGGTTGGCTCTACGTTTTATCTGGAGCCATCTCTCTCCCTCTCTCTCTCAGATGGAATTCTGGCCACGATGTATTTCACTTCATGCTGCTAAGTCTCTTAAACAACAAATAATACAGAATACGATTTGACAGTTGGAAGTGCATTATGTTGTAAAATTGTGGGTCATGCAAAGGGTACAATCTTTTAAATGCAATAATTTTCGGTGGTTGTGAATGCAAATGATCAAGTTTGTTGGAAGTTGCAATTGACTTTTAAATTCGAGACCCATTGCGAGCTTGAACTTTGATATCACGAATTTTGGAATCTGAAGATTGATTTCACCTAAATCTAATGGGATAATACTTGGGTCCTACTAGTGAGATCTACAACATATTCACCGCTGATGTGGATCAATAGTAAATTGACACGTCCTATTTAATTAATAAATAATAAATAATGAGTAGACATTGTCCAATCTAATGATAATATATATAGTCCTTCCAAATATGGACAAGGGTTGGGATCTAGCTCTCAATCACCACATTCACTGAGTTAGACGAAAATTCAAGTTATACGAAATAAGAATAAGAGCAAAAGCGTCCTTGGAGCATGAAAATTTCATCCGTTAAGAATAATTATGTGACTTAGGGTTTGACCTAATTTAAAATTGTACTATGTATTAGGAAAGATTCCAATTTCTCTCCTCCCACACTGACCCATCTTCTCAAAAACGTAATAAGTCCGTTAATAATAATAATTATACTCTGAATTAGAAAGACTTGAACTTCTCTAACAACTTCTATCTGTTGATATCTTCTCCTCCCACGTCGACCCATCTTCTTAAAAACATAATATGTTGTGGAAAGATGAAAGGTATTGATAATTTTAAGTTAAATAATTTTTGACAAATTATGTGTCAGTATCACCAATGCGAGAAATATATTTATAATTTTAAAAAATAAATTTAAACAGGTATATAATTATTAGATATTTCAAAACATTTTTTTAACATAATTTTTTCAAATATTATATCATATTATAAATTTAAAGAAAAATAAAAATTTCTCCCTGAAGAGTGGTGAGAATAATAAAGAATGTTTTATGATTAATTTAGTCCAAAATTTGTCAACTTATATACCTCTCAATGCTTAGTTTATTTGTCATAATCTTCCTGACAAATTTAGTCCAAAATTCAACAACCTTACATACCTCTCAATTTTTAGTTAATTTGCCATAATCTTCGGGACTAATTTAGTCCAAAATTCATTAACCTCGTGTACCTCTCAAATTTTAGTTTATTTGTCATAATCTTTTTCATAAAAGAAATGTTAGTAACTTTATTACTCCTCTGTCTCAATTTAGAAGTCGCTTTTGGTGAGTAAGAATTTTTAAAAAAACACGTAAGACATGTCTTATCTTTTTAAAAAGTTACTAATTTACGCTTCTAAGTTTTAAATATTTAAGTTTAAAATTTTAAACTCAAAAGGCATATATAAAAAAATTAAAATATATTATTTGAAAAAAAAAAAATGATAAATATTTGAGGACAAACCAAAAAGAAACCATGACATTTTTTTTTTTAGGACTGAAAGGAGTATTATTTTCACGGCATACTATTATTGTTTTATATTTACACAGATAAGGACACATATTTTAACTTTTACAAAGTACTTAACAAAATTATTAAAAGTAGAGAGCGTCCTATATGGTTTTTTTTTTTTTTTTTTTTTTTTTTTTTAAATGATTTAAATAAGTTGTTTAGTTTGGAAGAAGGGATTAAAATCCGGACCAGGCAACGATAATGATGATTAACCATTAAACAGTGATGGTTGATTTTTAACAAAACACAACGAAGTACAGTAACAGCGCAACAGTTCTATGCACTTTCTCGATCCAATCCACAGTTCATACCGATCCAATCTCAGAACCGAATATATATATATTTTCAATTATAATTACAATTCAGCACACATAATTCTCAGCAATGGAATCCCAACACAGACCCATCACTCACTTCAATCGCCACACTGCATCTCATCCTCGTCTCCACCCTGTGCGTGAAAACCTTCAAAACCCTAACCCTACCCACCAATTCCATCCTCGACTCTATCTCCATCGTCGGTCCCACAACACCCATCCCCACCCCACCGTCGCCGATCGCCGACGTCGTTACGCCGGACACCGCAGACTTCAACGGGAACGACTCGACGGCGAACTTGGCCGACATTCGCTGTGTGTGTCCGGCGTCGATCTTGCCGGAGGGGATGAAGGCGAACCCGACTTCGCTCCCTGAGTAGACGAGCTGGAGCGAGCTGTCGTAATGCGTGAAGGCGTCGCGGTTAGGGTTTCTGACGGTGACGTTCTGGAAGAAGGTGAAGTTGACGGTGCCGTTGGCGACGGAGAAGGTCGGGAATCGTACAGCTTCGACGGTTATGTTTGGTTCCTTGGGTTTGAAGAAGAAGAAGAAGACGATAACAATAGCGGCGACTACGATGAGCAAGAAAACCGTCGCTACTATACATGAAGCTAGGTTTGTTCGACCCTTTGTGGATCTATGTCTATAAGGGTCGTACATGGTTAAATTCCACTGTTTTTCACCTGTAGAGAGAGAAAGGGGAGAGAGAGGACCAGCACACACAGTGGGCTGAAATGAGAGAGACAAAGGAAAGGTAAAAGACTGAGTGAGAAAGGAAAGGGATATAATGACTATTGGTTGGATCTGCACATCATACTTTTGTCTGCAATAATACCAAGAGCAGTTATGATTTTGCCACGTCATGATGCGTTCTTAATTTTGAGCCTAACCACCTTAATTAAAGGGTCAGATGTTTTTAGAAAGCAGTCAAAAGTATTCCGCCTAAGTTTGGTGTGAGTGAATGAAATCAAATGAAAGTAGTGTGAGTGAATGAAATCAAATGAAAGTAGAATGGAATGTATTTATTTCCATTTTCTTGTTTAGTGGGTTATATTAAAAGTGAAATGGCCATTTGAGGGAATGCTTATTCTATCAAAAAGGTGGAATGCCCATTCCACTTCTTAAGAGGTGAAATGACCATTCTATTCCCACTAAGAATTAATAAAGTAATAAAATAATTTAAAGAGATAATTTACGCATACACACAACAATAAAAGGGAAAGAGATAATAGAGAGAGAAAAATAAACGAGATAGAGAGAGGGGAACAAACAACATATATCTATTATCTCTTTCCCTTTTATTTTTGCAAATTAATTTTTTTAGTTAATTTTTTTTATTAATAATAAAATGTAATTTAAAGAAACAATATAAATTCATTTTATTCTAACTTCCTTTCCAAACATAGGAATTAGAATAAGATTTCATTTTTACACATTCCATGTCTCATTCCATTCTCACCCCATTCTCATTCTATTCCAATACATTTCACCACCCCCAAATATGCCCTCAATGTTACAAAGAGGAATGCTTTGTGCAACTGTGATCTTACAGTAAAGACCATCTCAATCTCGTTAATAGCATGAGTTTAGATTTTAGATATTACCATTCAACTATATAAATTTCTTCTCTTTGTTTTGGCAACGGAGACCTCTATTCATAGGAAGATATTGGGTGAGCCGGAGCGTACCTCAATAAATGAACATGCACCATTTTGATTAGTCAAGAGCAGTTTTTGAGTGAGACTAATTTGATTGAATTGTGTTGAAACTGAATTTAAACTAGTGAGAATCCGAATTCCATCCGCATAGGTTAAACAATTGGGACGGGGACTGTGTTTTGAGTACACACAAAACTTTGCTTTGATGCCTTGTTTTGGTGTAGAAAGCTGAAGCTTTGAGTAAGAGATACGTTTGGCATAATCGCATGAATTAAGCTCCAAGTCAGGATTAGAGAAACAGAATGTGTGACCCACAACACAACTACCCACCATATGGTAGGTCCAGTTCAATCCAAGTACATTCACGTGACCAAATAATTCTTCTTCTTTTTCCAAGACTTTCAGGTCACAACGTTGCGAGAACAAAAGATTAACATTAGGAAGCAATAATATTATAGATAATATTACTACAAACCAACTTGTGTCCAACGGAAAATTCAATGTAGAAAACAGCAGGTTTATATATCTCACTAATGCTTGTTTATAGGATATGAATGTTCCTATCAGTCTAGAACAACAATGAAGGATAAAAACACAAGAATTAGCAGAATCCCATATACCGTACAAGTTGTGTTATTCCTGTAACCCTTAAAATTGAAAGAGCATGTTATTCTATATATTATTATGTAAATCCATAATTCCCAAAGTCGATTTCAGCCAACTGTTAAAAGACTTGGGAATGACAGAATCAAATAAATTGTTCTTGGAGTTGAAGTACGCGAATAGAAACTCACATTTGCCAATTGCCTCACATTCGCATATAATACGACATTATGTGCATATAGACACTTTTTGTGTACCAAGCTTCTCCATAGACCTTATTTGGTCATCTCATCAAGACGGCGATCCATGATCTCTGAGACCGATTCAAGGAATGCATCTTCACTTGTGCCAGGGAGCATTGAGTCCAGTGCTGCTTTGACAATCTCTTCAATCACCGATTCCTTCTTCAAGGTCTCTCTGCACATTATGCTTCCAATGGCAAAAGGAGTAAGTCTTCTCTCTGCCCCTTTCTTCAGAAGCATGGTGGAGATGCGGAGTATACGGGCACATTCAAGTGGCAATTCCCATCCATAGAATTTCAGAAGGGTAATGTCTGCTTCAGCATCCAACGACTTTATGTACTCAATGGTGTCTGGGCTGTAAGGCTGGCGAGCTTGTGGCCAGTATAGCCAGTCAAATGTGCAATCTTCAAACTGCAGTGATGACAAAAAGTGAGACATCAATCAAAATACCGAACATTTTACTGACAAAGCAAAAAGCGGAATGCTCAAATTATAGGCAGAGAGATGAAAGTAATAATTAAAAGGCTTTCAATGACGCAACTCTATCATGTATCTTAGATAAATCTCATAAAATATAGAATTCAACCACCATCCCAGTAGGTCAGGTGGTAACTAGTTGATTCTATTTCTCACAACCTTTAATGTCAGGCAATATGAAATTGATCTCACAACCTTTTAATGTCAGGCAATTTGAAATTGATCTCTGAATCTTTCCATCTAAAAGAAGTGGCCTATGCAATAACCCAGGACCTCAACATAAATTTACGAAAATGGGTGCTGCATTTTGGTTTGGACCCTAATTATGACAGCAAGAGCTAGATTAATTGGACCTTGTTCTCGTAACTTAAAAGGACCACAATATAATCCCCACCAATAACCTGTTAAGACTTCTTAAAAAAATTCTTCTCTACAACTAAGATGCTTAATTGTCTATAACATTTTTTTTTATAATTCCTGTTAAGTACTCGTCTATAACATGTTAAGATTTACAAGTATCCTTTTTTGTAGTTATATGTATTTCTTATAACTGTAACACTTATTATACTTGCATATATATACTAATATTGCGTTTGGTATACAAGAGCAGAATGGAATGGAATGCCCATTCCAACTATTCTTTTGTTTGGTAGGAAAATTAAAGTGGGAATGAGAAGAAATATAATAAAAAGAGCACATGTTAATATTACAATAAAGGAAACTAAATAAAATCAGTGCATATTCTATGTCTAGACATATGCGTAAATAAAGTCAAATCCATGATTTGTGGCGATCATATGATTCATATCTCAGATAATATCACATCCCATGATTTGCGTCTATCATATCTCGGCTATCACTCCCCCTCAAGTTGGTGCATGGATGTCTGAGACGCCCAACTTGGACAATGCATCCTTAAACCCGGTCTTGCCAACACGTGCAAATCTGCAAATATGATTAGCGATGCTTTTAAAGTGCCAATCAACAAATCAAAGTGTCCCAAAACAACCAACCATGTCTCCTCAAACCCAAAACAACCAACCATATCTCCTTAGGCCCAAAACAACCAACAATGTCTCCTCAAACCCAAAACAACCAACAATGTCTTCTCAAACCCAAAACAACCAACAATGTCTCCTCGTACCGTTTCCCTTCATACATATGTAGATAAAATCATAGAAGAATCAACAATGTTTCCTCAAACCATCCCCTTCATACATATGTTTAAACAATGTAGATGAAAGAATCAACAATGTCCATCTCAAACCATTTCCGAATGGGTGGTTTCGAACTTACAATGCCCTCATTAAGGTCGGACAACCCTGCCAACTCGACACCTCCCGGATGGGGGATGTCTCCTTAGAGCATTCTCGAATGGGTGGTGCCGAACTTGCAATACCCTCATTGCAGTCAGACCACCCTGGTTCTGATACCAAGAAGAAATATAATATATACATCTCATTCAAACCTTTTACATATTTCTCCTCTTTCATCATATACTTGTATAAATCTAAATAATATATAAAAAAATATATATATAGCTCGTATGCAGATTATATGATGAGACTTAAAGAAATTGTGATGAAAATTGCTCCAAGATTTACTGAACTAGATCAAGCTCGTGAACATGTTTGCTAGAACTCGAACTCGATTATAATATATATCTATATATCATATGTCTTACATGTTATATATAGATAGTGTCAAAGATTCAAAATATCTAAGCAATTGAATTATTAAAATTATTTAGTGGTGGCTTCCCAAGTAAGCTTCACGCCACTCAAAGACTTCAATCTTCCACTTTTGAGCCTAGTCGTTAGAGTCTACTCATAGGAGTACTATTCTGTTTTGCCTTTCTCACACACTCCTCTCAACTCTTCAAGCTTGCGGTCTCTAGAATTCACACGACACCAACCACTTTCTAGTTTCAACAAGTGAGTTTCTCTCTCCTTTTTCTCTTTAAATCTCTCAATCTCTCTCTCTCTCTCTCTCTCTCTCCAAATTTTCTATGCTATTTTAGGGTTTTTATTTCCTCCTACAAGTTTTACTAAAATCAATTGAATGGGGTTCTCTTTTAAACTTCGCAAGTTGAAGTTTATGCTATGATCCTTTGCGCTCTCATCTTTCAATGACACCTTTAACGTTCACCGATCAACAATTGGCAGTAGTCTTTCTTGCTAAGTTTCAAACTCCTCTCTCTCTCTCTCTCTCTCAATTTCATCTCTCAAAATTGTCCGTAAATTATGGTTTCACTCACTAATTTCTGTTAATTCATATCTCTTTGTTGAATAGTTGGTTGTGACATACATCATGTATATCATATTCAAAAAAGGAATATATGTATGTAAATTATATGCTATGAGACAGACTTGAAGAAAGTTTGATAAAGATTGCCTAATATTTATTAGACTAGACAGAGGAACCCTAATAATCAAAATAAGTTACAAAAACCTATGCATGATACCTAATATATACAACAAAAAAATAAAAAGTATGTAAATATAAACACATTTTTCATTAATTTGAATTTTATATAAAATCTTTGGGTTAAAGTACTGCAAATGATACCAATACTATACACTTTAATTTGAGGATTATGGTAAATAAGTATGTAAAGTGTTATAGTTATAAGTGATGTATAACTATACAACTCGTAGTATTATTCTTACAACTTATGAATTATAAATTTCATCATAAAAATGGCTATCATAAATGATAGAGATTGTAGATATTTTACTCTTTATGTCTCAATTTCTCAAAGACACTTCATAACGGTTCCATTATAATGTAATAAATAAACAAATAACAACTAAAAGTAAGATATCCAGCTATTATTGTAAATAATGATTTTTGTAAAAACAATACCCAAAACAAATTAAAAATGGAGTGTCAGAGATCTTTCGAAATTTTGAGAGACCAAATTCTCGAAAATTCTTCAATCATGTTCCATATCATAAATAATTAGTATACAATAAATAGCTAAAAGAGATAGATTTGAGCACTTGAGAGTTAAGAACAATGAGAGCTTGGATATGGAGTAATGAGCAAGAGAAGAGAAACTAAGTGAGTTGTAATGTGAAATAAACCACTTGATCCTATTTATAGGTTTTTTCTCCAATGCCATTTTTGATAAATTTTGGCTTAAAAAGGTCAAATGACCAATAGGAACAGTGAACCAAACAGTCAAACGATCCTTATTCACATTTACATGGTTCAACCCCTTCTTTAATGCCTTTTTATATAATTTACTAATAACAGAAGTTAATCCTAAACAACTGCAAAAAAACAAAATGAAGTTTGCACCATGTCACCAATCAAAGTACATTCCCAGATATTCCACTCCATGAAACTTCATCCCATTTCAAAAGGATCGTTAAAATGATTTTAGTGCAGAGAAGATGGATCACTTAACCCTAAAAACTTATGCATGGCAATAAATGAAAGAAAGTAGTCAAAATAACAACATTACTCTAAGAAAAAAGCAACCAAGTACAAATATAACAGCATTTATGCAATACATAAGGTTGCAATTAATGCAGCAGTTCAGCAAAAGTGTAAAATAAGAAGAACACTTACACTCTCAGGCAAGCAGTACCCATGATCAATCGGAACCAGCACAGTCCGGCCATCTGCCCCATCTTTGCTAACCAAAATATTCCCTGCATGCCTGTCTGCATTTGCAATTCTTATATCCAAGACAGAAATTTTGTGTACCTCCTCCATGGGGAAAGTGCTAGGCCCCATATCCTCGCAACTTCCATTGTTTTCCATGAACATCTGCAAGGATCCAATCTTGAAATTCAAACCCTCTGAATGATTAAATCCTCTGTGCAAGCACTTGACCATCACTGTAGGGGGGACCCCAGCAAAGCCCTTCTCCTCACCTGAAAATGAACGGTGACCACTCTTTGGATGATCCAAAATGTAAGCAGCAACTTCCCTTAGTGCACCTTCTCCAACTCTGGTACCCTTCTTCAATCCTTCACCATCAACTGACAAGGGCAACCCCCGAGGGTTGTTCACAGCCATAGGTTCCTCATCAATGGGCTTAAAAACAGAGATATACTTGCTCCCTGATGCATCCAGCATTAGATATGCTCCTCCTGTACCCTCGGAGGACCTGATTGGATACTTCAATCTATCTAACCCTTTAGAGGTAGAGTTAATCAAATCCCAAATAGCCAAAGGTATTTCGATTTTTGGATTAACAATCACAGGTTTTATCCAAAAATTTATATCAGGAGGCTTTCTAGGTACAACAATATTGTTGTCAGTTTCAGACTCACTCTCAATTCCTCTATTCACTTCATTAACTATTGGATCATTCAACTGTGATGAGTCTGATGCCACAATAGACAACTGGAAGTTTTTGTCAACAGGTTTAGCCCTAATTTTAGCAGATTTCTGGACAAAAAAGTGAATCACAGCATCATTGTTTTTACAAATATCATTAATCAATCTCTGATCCTCCAGCTGCTCACCATTGCATAATACCTCTTGATCATCAAGATCAACCAAACCATTCTTCTTTTTAGCAATCTGACGTTTGACGTACCTAACGTCTCGGCACCGTTCAACATGAAATGTGAATTCTTTTCCACAAGATGTCCTCACATTGATGACACGAAGATCAGAGAGACGGAGAACCAAATGCAAAACATTCCCATCAGTGACCCCATAATCCCGAACGAGAGAATTGCTCCGTGACAGTTCTCGTCCTCCACAAACCAACTTCTGATTTTTCACAACAAATCCTTTATAGGACTGAATCTGAAGCTTCACTGACTCGACCGAATCAGACTCCAATACCCGCATTGGAATCATATTACCCGACACAGCCACATAAATTAAAATGGATTCCCTTGAGGGATGGTTATGTATGTAATCAGGAGAAACCACAGATTCATTTTGAATGGGAGTAATTGCAACACCAGAAGACGACATTTTGACCATCGAAATTCAAAGAAATTCTTAAGCCTAAAATTTCAATAACCCAATTGACGAACTATCAGATTTCAGCCATGATTGAACGGACAACGGTTCTGAAATCCAATACCCAATTAACAATTAATATGCACAAATAATTTCAAACGGACCAACAAATGCAAACCCTAGAGATTCATATCGTTCAACAACAATTACGGTTTAAAAATATAACCCGAAACGTTTCGGAAAAGCTACGTCTTTTGGAGATTGAGCACTAATCACAATAAAATCATGAATGTGAATGCAATAATTACGGTTTGCAATGAGGTTAAAGTGTGGGAGAGAGAGAGAGTAGGGGATTCTTACCAGGTTACATGAGAGCAAGAACCGGAGAAAGAAGATAAGATGGAGAGCAAATATATTAGCGATGAATGATTAATCGGCGATGAGGTGAACAATGTACACGCTTTTAACGGGTTGGACCGTTGGAATTTTTTTTGCTCTGGTATCATAATGGCAGATGCAGAGAGAGAAGTGTTGAAGAAGACACGCTTGCATGCAATATTTCAATTTTTTAAAAGGGGGAAATTATTACATCATTCGGCCAATTACAAGTCGCCACGGAAGCGAAACTATTGTGTAAATTTCCACCTATTTTGTTCTTAATTTGATAATCGAGTATGAGAGACATTTTTTTGCGAAAATAAAAAAGAATAAAAATAAATTTTACTAAAAAGGGGTGCCACTTCAACACCAATCCTTTATTTAAGAGTAATAAGTGTGTCACGTGACCACGTCATTATTTTATAATTATTCATTGTGTTCTTATAAGCAAATTAATCCAAACAACAGAGTAACTATAATTATCCATCGTGCTCTTGTAAGCAAATTAATCCAAACAAAATAGTAACTGGTGTTAATCCAAATAAGATAATGACAGTGGTGTTTTTTATATCCTTAGATATAGGCCAGTAAAATTATTTTATTATTTTTAATGCACTAAAATTCATTTCCCATTAAAAAAGGCAATGTCAAAAGACTATTATATATTTCCTAGAACATCTTTGAAAAAAAAAAAAAAAACTAATTAACTTAACTGTTAAATTTCAAATAAATAATTTAGAAATTTTAAAGGCTAGGTGGTGAACTCCGCCAACCGCGCCGAACAATGACTAATTGCTGCTGGAAATAATCTTGATTTTATTTGCCAAAAACATTGTTATTTGCCAAGCCTCAAAACTCATTATTAAATTTCTCAAAAGCACCTTAAAAATAGAACAAAGAATTTGTTACAGAGTTTACAAGAAGAAGAATTGTAAGAAAAAAACATAAAACAAAGAAAAAAACATAAAACAATGAAAGAATATTAACGAAGCTCACCTATATCCCTCTCATGTTATTACGATTCACGAGTGGGGTTTTTTTTTTTTTTTTTTTTTTGAAACTGCAGTAGACGTTGTCAAATTAATTTATTATTGTAAAATTGGTTCCGATTGAAATATATCAGTCTGAGTTGGTGAAAGTATCAGAAAAGGGTTAGAGATCATGAAATCCCATAACTTTCATTCACATTATAGAGTTTTGGGGGGTAAGAATACAATCCAATAATTCATCAGTTCAAATGTGAGACTCAAGTATCGTTCACATGGGCTTGGTAAAATTATCTTCAGAAGCGGATTACATAGCAACCAACGAACCCTGACAACAAATACAAGCAACCACCATGCCGAGCAAAGCTCCGGCAAAAACCTGGGATGGAGTGTGGCCAAGAAGTTCCTTGAGCTTTCTTTGACTGATAGGATGCCCTTGAAACAGGTCCTCAACGATCTTATTAAGAACCTGAGTTCATCAGCACAATTTTAGGAAGCAGAAATACCACAATTCAACAAAAATAACACAATATTTATACATATATGAGATAAGCCATGTACCAAGCTGGCTAATGTAATTTCAAATAACTAAAACTCGCTATCAGATATAATGTTGCATGAGTTGTAACGAATTAGGGAGTAGGAACCAGATAGTTTGTAGATCCCACCCACAGTACCCTGTGGCAACATATTTGCATTGGGAAACTAGAAAGACCAGTTCAAGAGATAAGCATGTGAAGCAAGGATATAAGCCCTAAGCCCCCATAAGTGACTTATAATTCAAAGCTGTGAAGCTTTGGCACAATGGTAAGGTTGCTTCATTGTGACTTGGAGGTCACAGGTTCACAACCGGAAGTAGCTTTCTCCATGCAGAGGTAAGGCTGTGTACATTTGACCCTTGCCAAACCCTATAATGATGGGAGCCTTATAAGACAATAGCAACTAAAAAAGATTCATGAAATTAGTAAACACATATTTTTTTTTTTGATTAGTATGAAATTAGTAAACACATTTACACACATAAAAATAATAAAATCAAGACCGATTCACTATTACAAGGTCTAAACAAATTAACAATGATGTAACAAGCAACCAATAAGATTAGCCTTTAATTCACATACTGTAAAGTCTGTAAGTGAAAATTGACATTCACAACTTAGATTGCAATAAATAGACACAAGGCAGTTGGAGATATAAATTGTATATGATCTAAAAACAATTAAAATATCAAAAGAGCACTTCATGTGAGGTAAAACCAATTTTAACTTTCCTTTCCAGCTAACACATTAAAAATAGTAAATTTTTATCTCAAAATTTCAAAGCAGAAGAAAGGAGGGGAAGCTGCACCAAAATGTCATTCCCCAAAACTTCGCCTAGATGCAAGTGTCAAGGTTAAAGCCAAACACACCTTTAAACACTACAATTTAAACCATAAGGCAATCACTTTGTTCTGGACATTCTAAACCTCATAAGACAGCAGAACAAATGGGTCAAAGAAACAAAAAACCCCTAATGTTTGCACCGTAATTACCACTACACAACCATCTAACCCACTCATTGGGCCATATGATTCCTCCACAAGCAAAACACCATAAACAAAGATGCATACATATTTTTTATAAATGAAATAATTAAAATGAAAAAGAACTAAACAAAGGATTTCAACTAACAAATATTTATGCATCATGCAACATACCGGGATCTCATGCAACTCAGATTTATCTTGTTGATTCTAAACTACAGAAACTTGGCAATTGAATCATATGGGTTTAAGCAAGTAAAAATCATTTCATCTGACCCTGTACTCTATAACACTAAGGTATGCCTATAGAGTATAGACTGATTGAATTTGACAGGATGTGGTGATCCAATGATCCTAATTTGAATCAAAATCAATCTTTGCTACAAAGCGTACAAACTAAGAGCATCCATATTAATAGATAATCAATCAAATTGAAACTTGCCTTAGATGATAATAAAGACAATATGATTTACAAATAGATAACAAACATATGGTTTTTGGCAAAAGAGGGAAAAAGATTTTGATAAAGTAGGATGCAAGAAAGGAGAGATAAGTATGAAAATCCAAAAGAGATAGGCTGTCCTTGAGAAAGCTTAATTCAGCATGAGAGAGAGAGAGAGAGTGCGATGGAAAATCCAAGTAATTGGTTTTATGTATATCAAATGAAAAGTCAGATTGTTAAAGATTTAACAGCAAATATAAAAAGCTAAAAATATAATGTTAAAATATAATTACTTGTAGTTGAATCAGATTCTTATCAGATCATATTATACCCCATCACTGATTTCTACACTATCAGATCACTAGGTTCATAGTCAGATAACTAAATTCTGTAGGGAACAAAAACCTACCTATTGATTGGCTAGAGCAAGGTAAAGCAAATCACTTGTTGAAAATTGTGCAGGTTAGAATCATTTTTGACCTTGTACCTCAAAATAGTAACCATATTCCATATTTAACGGCCGACCCCATTCGTTTGGGATAGAGGCAAGGTTGAACCCTCATCCTCGCGTATGGGGGGAGGAAGAGGAGATATCACTTGAGGTAAAAGCTCGGTATTTATTTGTACATCATACCTAGTTTTGAAACCAACACATTTCCCTCATTACAGGACAATACACACACACACACACACACACACACACATATAAAGAAGAAGAAGAACAACAAGTCATTTAAGGTGAAGCCAATGACAAATTTGTTTCACCTCTATTTAAAGCTTCTTATGAACATGAGGTTATATAAATAACGGAACATCTAAAGCAAAGTGACCAAAATATTCAAAACTAACATCAAAGCTCTTACAACCAACTTCAACAATTTTGAAAGCTTGGAGATGGTGCAATTTAAGAATTTATGTTTACCAAAACTACCCACCATATATGTGCTAGACGCGAGAATCTATTATAATTAGGGGTAGATTACACTAACCCCCCTTCATCTATATACACTGACCTCCCCCTTATTTGCCAAATTACACTTACCTCCCTTCAGATTTGTATGTAAATAATACATACATGCCCTTCGTTAACTGTCAACGACGAAAACTGTTGCTGTCAACAATTTTGTAACTTTCAAAATCCAATTCTGTCATTGGAAGACATGTTTATTCAATATATATATATATGGATAGAAACGTAATTACAAAGCTGACAAGTCTGATTTGGCAAACAAGATGAGAGGTCAGTGTATATTGACGAAACCTCAGAGAAGTCGGTGGATATTACCATTATAATTATTGTGGAAGTGTTGTTATTCAAAAACATAACCTGCAACCAAACATTATGTTGACGACGGACGACTCTAATAAATAAAGCTGTTGGAAAGTGCAACTTTTATAATATACCATCAACAACTAATCTACTCAAAGTTAAGAAGTCGTTATATAGGAAAAACACAATATTGAACCTGAACTCGTAAGCAAATGCTGAAACCTTAAATAGCACACCATGTCATCAGCATACTCCCATCAGTACACTGAATCGCAGTGACCCAACAACAGATAGGCATAATAGCATAAAATGAAATCTTACTGATAAATGAAGATTTCTAACATTACCAAGGATATGGGTTAAAGTCTCCATAAGGGACAAATGCGGGTGCATGCATGTCCCCCCCCCCCCCCCCCCCCCCACCCCCCCCCCCACCCACAAACATCTCTTTTTATTGAGAAGGCTACTGAGAATTTATTCAGCTTATACAGTGGATTATATTTACAAAATCCACGCAAAAATGCAAACCTAAAATTTGCATACCCCAACTTTGCCCCTGACACATTTGGTCCGGCAGTGAACGGTTCTTGTTTAATTCATCAACAAAATTTAGGAACTCCGCGAGATAAACTAAAATGACATGCCATCAAATCGCCAACATCTAAAAGCATGTACTGAGTAGCGAAAGAGTTTCAATTTATCATAGCCCCACAAAAATGTTTGTGCTTTTTCCTTGAATGGAAGAAATATAATTTGGTTACCAAACATCCCCCAAGTCTTGCCACTTAATTAATACTGCATTGATCACAATTGAACACTGGGTTTCAGACTTCCAGGTTATTAAGAGGGGCAGTCGAGCTGCACTAAGGTTACCTAAACTACAGAAGCAACTACGATTGTAGCCTAATAGTTGACACCAACCATCTGATTAACCCATGTTCAAACCATTGAATCAGTAACTTCAATAGGTATGGAAACAATAAAATAAATACCCATATTTCTTCATCTAAGGTTCAACAAACCTACTAAGAAAAGAATCATCTAATGTTCGACCAATCTACTCTACCCAATAGTCATAATTATGTGTTTCAACAGGTTAATTTGGTGTGCTAGCTGTAAATGCACATTCATAAACGAAATCAAACATTACTGAAAATAAAATAATAAAATAAGAAGAATAAGCAACCAATTACCTCTGCTTGCATCCCAGCATGCCGACGAACACCGATAGCATCATACATGACAATTGAACTAAATCCCAAACAAACAGGGAATAAAGAATCAGCCACTCCATGACAGATTGCAACAGAAGTTGTCAAAGCTGTACATAGTGCCGAATGCGAAGAAGGCATTCCTCCAGAGGCACATATGATCCTCAAGTCCCATTTTTTCTCTACAAAGAAATTCAAAACCACCTTCAACGACTGTGCAATCAACCAAGCCAACATTCCAGACACAAAAGTCGGGTTTGAGGCCAATGTCGCTACGAATGGGCTGATTCGGTCCTTAGACGTCGATGTCACCGTCAAAAGTGCGACTCCAAACCCTCCATTTTTCATATAATCACCATTGACATCTTCTTCAACAGTCTCTGAATCTCTAAATCCTCGAATTACAGATACCCATTTGTTCACTGCAACTTTCGCAGCTAAAAGTTTGATGCTCTGTAGAAGTGGAACCAAGATTGAAAAAGAACTGACGGGTTGATCGTAATTTTTGAATTTTGATTCGGGGTTTTGGCGATTTGAACGAGGTCGGTAAGAGACAGAGATCGAAGAGCGTTTGAGTTTACTTAAATGGGTGAATTTGAAAAAAGAGGTTTTAGGGTTTAAGAGGTTGAGACTGATGAATGACGATTTTATTACAACAGATTCCATGAGAGCAGGACTCTATTATTGAATTCAATCTGCATCGGAACAGAGGAAGGAGAGAGAAAAGCAGTCTTCGAAGTTTCTGGGGTTTGGGAGAAAGACGAACTTTTGTGAAAGCTTAGAGTCGTAAAAGTTTATATCGAATATGCTTGAGACCTCCTGTCCTAAACTCCTAAATCCTAATTCCTAATCCTAAGGAATATGCCATTTTGAGACCTCCCGGTCCAGTTCCGGAGAATGTCTTTTATTTATCAAAAAAAATCTAGTCATTAGATTCCCCCAACGCATACCAGCGCAAGACTCCGAAATTGCGGCTCCACCAGTTCATTCGTTTCTTCGAACTCTATCTTACTATACACCATCGAGTAGGCTCGTCTTATACGTAGCTATTGGCGTTATGAAATATGTGGGATTTAAATTATGGAGCTGCGGCATTTTTATTTATTTATTTATTTAAATTGTGGAAGATATATGAATCCGCAGAATATATAGGTTCTAAGTTGTAACACTCCGGGCAATGTCAAATCAAAATTTTGAGAAATTTATTGTATTTCAATTTCCTTCGTACACACAAGGCCGAGTTAGAATTTTAGTTTAAGAGCACAATATCAAGTGTGTGTATATATATATATATATAAATATAGATATAGATATTTAAAGGAGTAGAAGGGAAAAAAAAAAAAAAAAAATTAAAAAAAAAGGTAAGAAAAATGCCTACTTAAAAAGGAAATAATTAATTTGTATAGGTGTGTGACTTGAACAAAACACAAGTTCTGAGCTGTAACACTTCAGGCAATGTCAAATCAAAATTTTGAGAAAGTTATTGTATTTCAATTCCTGTCATACATACGGAGTCAGAATTTTAATTTAGGCGACACAATGTTAAGAAGAAAAAAAATTATTTAAAAGAGTAGAAGGGAAAAAAAATAAAATAAAATAAAATAAAGTAAGAAAAATGCCAACTTAAAAAGGAAATAATTACAAAGAAACTTTAACCTTTTTAAGGAATTTGAAGAGTAAATTAGTAAAAAAATTGAAAAAATAAGAGATGATTTTAAAAACTAATAATTTTATGGGGTCATTATATACAAAAATTCCATATATATTGGGAAAAAAATAATAATAATCAAATATACTTACAAATACAATAATTAAAATATTAATTAATAATATTTTAATTAAAGAAGTGGAAAAAAATGGAACAAAGGCAGGTGCACGTGCCCCTGAACTTTAATTGACTCCGCTCTTGCACGTATACACATATAAAATATATAAAAAAATTCTTTATATATAATGGGCAGGGCCAGGCTAGGGACACTTCGCCCACAAGTTTTGTGAAATTTTCAAATCTATTGGGTCATCCAAAATTTTATCCTATTAATAAATAAATATTTAAAATATTAAATATTAAAATATACGTGACATGAAACAAAACCACTAATATAGTGTACAAATAAGATATTTTTTAGACTTTAAATGATTAAATTTGTTGGATTAATAATATTATTTCGTATTAAAATTTTGCAAAAACTCAAAAATCTTATATATATATATCCTTTAACTAAAATTTAATTATTATAATTTTTTATTTTAAATTTTAAAGCAAGCATGTCAAAATTAAGTCAATACCTATGATACAATAAATCATATAGTTTAATTTTACATAAACAACGTGTAGACCTAAAAAAATATAAAAATGTTAAAATTTCTTATATTTCTGGTTGCTCAAATTAGTAAACCTTAATCAAAATCGAGTCTAAAATAAATTAAGGCTCCAATTTTAATCCAGTCCTAATCTTATGCTCTTGGTAGCAATTCGTGTTTGTGGATCGTGTCAATGTAAGAGTATTATACTAAATAGGTAAACCCAAATCTAACTCATTTAATAATTGTGTCAAAAATTCTCAACATTAACTCAACCCGTTTATTGAATAGGTAAACGTGTTAACCTGTTTAATGACCTGTTTATCAAAACGAGACATTTAATATTTAATCAAATAATAAATAATAAAAAAAATTTACCATAATTAACCAAAATATATATATTTTTTTCATAATTGAACCAAAATATTCAAAATAAAAAAAAAAATCATAAAACATAGACAATGTTTATGTTGAAATGACTTAACTATCTATAATAATTAGGTTTAAACATGTAACACGTTACTTATGTCATATTCACGATTATAACATATTGAGTTAAATGGTCATAAACAGGTTACACAGGTTAAACCCTTCAACCCTAACCCGACACGGTTAAGTAAATGAGTTAATCGTGTCGATCATTTTATGACCTAAACCCATTTATGCCAAACTTAAACTCTTTTAACTCATGTCGTGTCGTAATTTGTCACTCATACTCTTAAGTACCGAGGCAAATAATTTCGGACAAACTTATTTCTAATTTGTAATATAAATACAAAATTATTTTCTTTACTTTATATTTTCTATACAATAATGGTATCGTTTACATTTAGATCTATATTTTAATTATCAATATTATTATTATTTCCTCGTAACTAATATTATTGTTTATTTTTTCTCATAAAGAAAGAGTGTAAGGTTGGAATAGAAGGTGTGAGTACGGGGTGGAAGAGCCACATACCCTCTGGCCTGGCCCCGCCCTATCTATATATATGATTTTTATTTTATTAAATATATATATATTTGTATATTATGCTCTTCCTAAAATTATTAGTTTTCAAATTTTTTTAAAACTTTTTCTCTTTTACTCTTTAAATTTCTTTAATTACTTTTTTAAAAAGGTTAAATTTCCCTTATTTAATCATGATTTAATTTGTTTCCTTCAAAATTCATTTTTCTTTCATTTTTTCTTCTTCTTGTATTTTTGTTTTTAAAAAATTTCCACTATATTCCCTGAATTCAAATTCTTGCCCTAGTGAGTACTACCACATGAGCAAAACCTTATTGCAAATTCTTTATTTCCTGTACACATTACAAGGGATTAACCCACGTGATAGTCATGGACAAATAATCATCCATATTACTTTTATGATGTGAATAAATCACCACATATGTGGAGATATGAAACATGAACTTGTAGCCAATTTCAAAAAAAAAAAAAAAAAAAAAAATCTATATTAGGTTTGGCCCAATTCACTCGGTTGAGTCTTTTGCATGGTTGACGGACTGAGGTATGGTTGGGAACGATGGGCTTGGTTCACTTCTTTATTGGGCCCTTTTGACAATTCACAAACTCTATGTTAGGTCAGGCCCGATTCACTCGGTTGCTTGTGGGCTTTGCACATAGTAGTTGTAAATCGTTTGGGTTTGTTTGATTAAACAGAAAATTTTATAAAGAGTGAAAGTGAAAGAAAGTGAAGTGAAATAAAGAAAAATCAAGTTTTCATTTTGCATTTGGTTAGCATGAAATATTTTGAAGAAAGTTATGAGAAAATATTATTTTATTAATTTGGATAGCATGAAAATTAAAATAAAATGATTATATTTATTGAAAATACCCTTATAATTTTAAATAGTAAAAAAATATATATATGTTAGATAAATATTATATATACTCAATTATTTATTTTAGTAAGGAAATAATGAAATATGGAATAGAATACTATTTGATATCATAATACATTTTTTTGCTTTCTCCTCCCTCTATATATTCACTTATTATTGTGTAAACTTGAATTATCGATCTTTTATTTTTTAAGGTAAGAAAAATAAGTTTTTGGTAAAGTGGACTATCAAAGTTTAAGTATTTATTTTCTTTTTATGTTAGTTTTAAATTTTATTATTTATTATTTATTTGTAAATGATGTAATTAGATACTATATATCTAATTACAACATTATCACTAAGAAAATAAAGTCATGGATTGATTATGTATATTATTTTAGAATCATCAATTATTTATTTCAAGATAATATTTGAAATTAAGTATAAAACAAATTCTATTAAAATAATGTAGACTAGTTTTCACCTAACACTATTGCTATCAACAAATTAGTTATTGATATATATAATAGCTCTTATTCATTATCAATTATAGAAAAAAATAAGACATTTAAAAAAACTGAAAAAAATAATTCAATAATAAATGAAAAAATTAATTAATTTTGGATGCACACATTAAAAAAAATACAAACAATTAAATTAGTAATACATGATTTTATAAAAAAGTAATTTACATAAGAAATAAACTATCCTTTTCAAGGAAATCTATCTAATTAAATAAAGAAGAAAAAAAGATAATTAAAATAACATAGGAAAGTAATATATAAAGTGTACAATTTTTGTGGAAAAGTGAATTTTTTTTCGTAATATATAAATTGCACAATTTTTGTGGAAAAGTGAATTTTTTTTTTGTACGAAAAATTTTAAGGAAAAATTTCAGATGCGAAAATCATACTTTTCCCGAAACTTTCACTTCACTTCTAACCAAACTTCTATAAAAAGTTTAAATATTTTATTTTTCTTCTCTTTTTTGATTATTTGACGAAAATACATTTACACTTTTATCCCAATTTGGACATAAACCCTCAACCACCTCCTTAGGACGTGGACAAAATACTAACCGAGCTAAAAGCCGGCTAGTTAAAAAAAGAGAATTGACTTCAGAAGACTTGTTATACTCCATTTACTTTTCTTTTTTTTTTTTTTTTTTTAATAAAAAAGAAACAAATGTTTTTCAAAAACATTATTAGTACACTTTACTACTCCTACTATTACTTTTAAAAAGAAATAATAGATTTTATATATATTTAAAAAGCAATACTAGATTTTATATATATTTAAAAAGCAACAGAGTAATTCTTGAAAATACAAATATAAAAAACCCATCATGTCTGATTTTGAATTTTGATTGATCACCGAACAAATGATTTTTTCTTTTTAATCACCCAAATCTTTACCTTGTCAGCCCATCAGTCCACACCGCACCGACGGCAACGCGGTTCTTTGTTTGAAACTTCGAGTAAACGATTTCTATCTCGGTTCTTTCGCTTGTCCTCTCCTCTCCTCTCTTTCTTTGTTTCTTCTTCTTTTCTCTCTCCAGCATCTGTGAGGAGATCTACTTCGCCAGCCAGAGATCGGTAGCTTCTGAAAACAATTGTTGCCGGTTTAACGCCGATCTAAGTCGGTCGTTACCGACATGGAGAGCCTGATATCTTTGGTCAACAAAATACAGAGAGCGTGTACGGCCCTCGGCGATCACGGCGATGAGAGCGCTCTGCCCACTCTCTGGGACGCCTTGCCTTCAATCGCCGTCGTCGGCGGTCAGGTCTGATATTAGATCTCTCTTCTTCTGTACTGTTTTAGTTTCTCGTTTCTTGCTCTTTTATCAAATTTATAGATCTTCGCTTATATTCGAATCAATACCTATCAGTCACCGATTTAATTTAATTTAATTTATTTTCAAAATTCGAATACTTTTAGCTTAATTTTTTTGGTGGTTCTTGAACTTGGTTTAACTTATGCCTTTATTGTGTTTTTTTCCACTCGTATGTGTGCAGTAAAACTTCGCTCATCTTTGAATGTTAATTTATTTTTTATTTTTTCAATTGATATCAAATTTTTTTATTTTTTCAATTGATATCGGATTTGTTTCATTGCATCTTCCATCTTCTTAACTCCAATTTGAGCTGAAAGTTACGCTTGAAATGAATATTATTAGCTTTTGTTTTTTTCGAATTTGATATTGAATTTAATTCTCATATTTTTTCTTTATACCTAAATATTAGCAGAAAATAATGGACTGGATCTGGAATATAAGGATTTATTTTAACTACATTTCCTCCTCCGATTTATCAGTATTGGTCCAACGAAATATTTGGTGGTTGATATTTGCGAGGCAAAATTTGTTGTTGATGGACTTAAAACTTTAAGATGATTTTATATATATATTTTTGTATTTGATGGTGGTGTGTGTGTGTTTGTGTATATATATATATATATATATATATATATATTTCCTAGTTGATACTCACCCACCCCCACCACCACCACAACACACAGACACCCAACCCCCCTAACAAGGAATTGTTTGCGCCCAAGAGCACTTGATGCTTCATGAGACCAGGGCCAAGTACCCACTTGAGCCAACCCCTTGGGGTTTAATAGTCCTCGATATTGTCATACTCTTCACTTCCAAATTGATTACTTCAATGTTTTCATTGCATTATTTGAATGGCAATGGGTAGCGGGTCTATTCTGTCACTGCTTCTTTCAAGCACTGTCTCTGCTCTCAAAGCTGGCAGTCACAAATTTATACTGATTGCTGTGTAAGAGAAATGTGTCATCAGTTCTTTTGAAGTAGCAGCATCGTAGAATACACACCAACGAAATATTTGGCGGTTGATATTTGCAAGGCAATATTTGTTGTTGATGGATTTAAAACTTTAAGATGATTATGTATATATTTTTTTTTGTATTTGATGGGTGTGTGTGTGTGTGTATATATATATTTCCTAGTTGATACTCACCCACCCCCACCACCACCACAACACACACAGACACCCAAACCCCCTAACAAGGAATTGTTTGCACCCAAGAGGACTCGATGCTTCATGAGATCAGGGCCAAGTACCCACTTGAACCAACCCCTTGGGGTTTAATAGTCCTCGGTATTGTCATACTTTTCGCTTCCAAGTTGATTACTTCAATTTTTTCATTGCATTGTTTGAATGGCAATGGGTAGTGTGTCTATTCTGTCACTGCTTCTTTCAAGCACTGTTTCTGCTTTCAAAGCTGGCTGTCACAAATTTATGCTGATTGCTGTGTAAGAGAAATGTGTCATCAGTTCTTTTGAAGTAGCAGTATCGTAGAATACACACCACAATCTTATTTTACAATATATCTTTTGGAATGTTAGATATGATTTTTCATGATTCAAGTCAATTGCATTTCTTTAACCCAACATTGTATGTAAAGTCGTAGATTTTTATTTATTTTAACTGTATTTAAATATCACTATCCATTTTGGACTCTTACATCATTAGTTTATTTGCTTTAGATTCATTGTGGATTTTCTAGCAATCTATGATTTTCTAGCAATCTATGTTGTTTTCTCAAGAAAGATTCTAAATGGAGTAGACAAGTGTTGAATTCACTTTCTCACCCTCTCTCTTCCATGTGAAGTTGTGTTCCCTGAGAAAGGTCTTTTTGTCATTAAAGCCGCAACATACCTCTTCTATATTAGTTAATATTAAATGTCTAGCTACCTTCCAAGATATTTATTTGCTATATGTCAAGGATTCTTTGGGAATTTAGAATCATCCCACTTGTCAATGCTTTGCTGATCTATAGTGGAATTAGAAAAATTGACATTCTTGAGGGTCTATACAGTGTAATTTGTTCATTTATTGTTCTTTCCTGATAGTTTATGTGGTGCAACTCTCAGGGTACTCTTTCTTTTTATCTTCCATGCTTAATACATATCATCATCCTATTTTATTCTAATGGTTTGTAGAGCTCTGGTAAGTCTTCAGTGTTGGAAAGCATCGTAGGAAAGGACTTTTTACCTCGTGGATCAGGTAATCAATGCTGTTAATACGTTAACTCTACATGTCTAATTTTACTGCATGTTGATGTTATAATAATTTGCCATACTTATTCACATAGAAAGCTCGTGAACTTTAGAGATGATCTGAAAATCTCATATGCAGGGATTGTTACCCGACGTCCTCTTGTCCTACAGCTTCATAAGATTGATGAAGGAAGGGAATATGCGGAGTTCATGCATCTCCCAAGAAAGAGGTTCACTGATTTTGGTATATTTCTTGTCAAAGAAATATATATTTTAAATTATTATTTGGCATTAATTCACTGTTCTTTTGGTGCTCAGTAACATGTAATTTGACTATTTCCTCTAATGCTAGTTAGTATTTGCTATATGACTGTGATTAGTCCCAGTGTAATGCTGCTTATTTTTCTAAACTAGCTCCCTGTTACCATATCTGTTTGTTTAAGCCTTAAATTTTCCTTTTTTTTTAAATTATATATTTTTATTTTTTAATCTCTGATGCTGAAATCTAGACTGAATTTTGTGCAGCTGCTGTGAGGAAGGAGATTGCTGATGAGACTGACCGAGAGACAGGGCGCACAAAACAAATCTCCAGCGTACCAATTCATCTCAGTATCTATTCCCCTAATGGTGAGATATGATTGTGTTTGTGGATCATGTTTCATGTATTCCACTCACCTCCTTCTATTACGTAATGTTATTGTTTTTGTGTACTGAATTGTTATCTATGAAGGCCAGAATCTTTATATGCCACTGGTTATGTTATTTTATGAGTTATATTGCACTACTGCATTTGAGCATTAAGAATTGCATTTGAGTCATGGTGCTTGGTAACAGCCGTGCAGTTGTTAAGGGACTTTATGATACTTCATGGGACTGTTTCATTTTATCTTTAAATATGTACATTTTCTCCTCATATAAGTTAACACTTTCATTTCCTGTCAAAATAGGAAAAAAATCTGTGTGCTCAAAAGAAATTTTATCTTTGTGCAAAATGTTTTGGTAACATCTAAATTTTCCGTCTGTTTATTCCCAATTTGAACCTATTGGTTCCCCATTTATTGCCTCTGGTTACCATTACTCCGTCTCTCTCTATCCGACAAGTGTTCACTCCACTTCACTTTTAGTGTTTAATTTTAATTTTAAGTTCATATCTAGCAGACAACAAGAAATAAGTTTTGGAAGGCATGATGGATGGGGTTTACAAAAGGGTGAGGATAAAATGTTCTGTAGATAATTGGTTATGTAGGAAAATATAGTAAATATTACAAATGGGTGGATGGGCTTTATAGACTTTAAATCTCAATGGGGAATGATTTTCAGAATATAAAATGTGGGATGATCTTCTTGCAACAAAAGATTGCTTTAAAAACAAAGATATCGATAATTAATAAGTTTTAAAACGGGTGAAACAACAGTCAGTAATGGACAAAATAGAGTAAGAAACGTGTAAGGACCATAATCATGCAAGTATGGATTTCCTGACCATGCAACATAGGATGGTATTATCTGGTACATGTATTAAGAGAATACACAAGGCATAGAACCAAGAGGTGAAAATTGGTGGTGGGGACTTTCCCAGAATTAAAAAAAAAATTAGTGGTGGAGTGATGATACCTAATGAGTACACGTCTCCATTCCTTGAGGACCTTGACCTAACAACCGAGCTTTCCCCCGTGTGGAACCACCATTGCAGTTTAGGTTAAGCTTTCCTTTTGCTCCCCACCATTTCTGTAGAGGAGTTATGTCTACAGTCTACTGACTAAGAGGCGACCACTTCAGTATCGGCTCTCGGACCCTCCCCGGTAGGGTAGGGCATGTGCAAAAAAGAACCTATTCTTGGCACTGATATGGCAAGAGTTGTAAAACATACGTGTGCATCCACACATGTATATACCTAAAAAGGAAGACAAAGGATGCACTTACTGGGCCTAGTTCTACGGCATATCATGTTTATGTCATCAATCAGGCACAAAAAGATTGGAAGGAAGATGCATACAACTTTTAGGAGAAGAGGAATGAAACTAAAGCTTTGAATTTGTCGTAATGGCATGAAGGTGTCAAGAAGATAGGATGGTTGAAAGATTACTCACATTTATTTGTATTATATAGATCGGTATGACATAGTATTTTTTTTGATAAGCAAATTTCATTAAAGGTGCTCAAACTCAGTATGACATAGTATTTTAGCATGGTTAGAGATTAAAGGTAGTTCTTGATCATAAGGTGATCTTCTTCATGATTTAATTGTACAACATAGTTATCTTTCTTGGGGATTGAGAGATAGATTGTATTAGAAAGCATTCAAACGGGGAACGAAACCCACGAAGCTACACAAGGAGGACCAAATAGGCCCCCTAAACTCTCCCCCATGGATTTGCAATTTCTCCCCAGAACCCAACACAAAAGATATCGGGCATTGCTAGATTATTTATATATATTTATTTTTGTGTGTGTAGATGCCCTTTGGACGTAGCAGGAGTTGTTTATTGATAAATGCTGTGCTTCACTTTCAAAGTCGCTCTATAATTAAAGTAGTTGTTATGACTAGTTATTTTATCATTTGGAAGTTATTGTCTCGGTTCTAAGCTGTCAAATTGTCGCGCTGTGTGTATTTTTACCCTCCCTATAATTTCTTGTTCTCTTACCCATTGGCACATGCCAAGCATTTGACCTTAATCTTGAATTTCTACTAATTGCTAGATGTAGAAATTTCTAGTTACTATCTCACTATTATAATTGTTTGACTTCTGCAGTTGTGAACTTGACACTGATTGATCTTCCTGGACTTACAAAAGTAGCTGTTGGTGAGTGAAGCATTGCTTGTCTTCTGCCTCTCTCTCTCTCTCTCCCTCTTGAATAAATTTGGTTGCCTTCTTGTCTCTTTTGAATAAAAAATATAATACTGATGAATGGGTACTATTTTAACTGGAATAGAGGGTCAGCCCGACAGCATTGTGCTAGACATTGAGAATATGGTTCGGTCCTATATTGAGAAGGTAAATTTATTTTCACAATTCTGAATGCTTTCGTTTTCTCTGGAGTTCAAATCTAAATTGATGAAAAATCCTTTTGATGTCCATTAAATATTTTCAGAAATTGTGAGATTTATTTATTTATTTATAAATATGTGAATTTTAGAAGTCAGGGCAGAGATGTCAAGAAAATTGTCTAGGATCTTGTTGTTTGAATAAATGCACAGATGTACTTTTCTTGTTGCTTTTTGGTGATGCTTTGCTTGGAATCAGGTTTTACGAAGTGGCATATTTTATTGGCTTGTCTTTACCTTTTACTTTACAGCCCAACTGTCTGATTCTGGCAATTTCTCCTGCAAATCAAGATCTTGCTACCTCTGATGCAATTAAAATTTCTCGTGAAGTAGACCCCAAAGGTAAGATTTTCAAACACCCTTCCCCCCCCCCACAAAAAAAAAAAAAAAAAAAAAAATTATTATTATTATTATTCTTTGGGTTCCTGTTCTTTTAAAAGATGCTTAAGCAGGTAAAATAATACAAGAAGTTTGAGAAACAATAATATAAAGTAACTAAGTCCCCATTTTTCTGCGAGATGTTTGTGTCTTAATTTGAGCAAGCCACTTTCTGTGATGGTGTAGTCTTGTCTATAATGTGCGACACACTGTAGGAGAAAGCCCGTTTGCAGATAGTTTGGTAGTAAACTCTATCAGGCTTCCAAGTCTTGGAAATATTTAGGAAAAAATTATGTAGGAAATTACCATAGCAACTTTTTACTTAATTTGTTGGAAGATCGTAAAGGAATGGGTGTATTAGAATTTGGTTTAGGAGGCAAACACCTTTCAGCACTTGCTTACCAATATATGGGAGCAAAAGGTATTCCTAAACCTTGCTTAAGATGTGGATACTTACAATATGTTCAATTTCAATGTAGTGTTCTAAGTAGCATAGTCACGGACACGATACGACATGGATACGTCAACACGTTGAATCCTAAAAAGTACAGACACAGAAACGGCGTGGACACGGCTATACACACACACACACACACACACACTGACATTATAGAACTTCAATTTATTTCTAATTTATATAGGGTTACTCATGACATGATTTAGAAGATAAAGAAGTTCAATTATTGTAATATTTGTTATATCATCTATGCTACAATTTCACTACTTTGTCATTACAATTACATTTTTGTTCTATATGAATAAGTGTCATTATGTGCTTCACTTGTGACTGCTTTTTTTAATGCAATTTTTCTTAAAGAAAAAAGTCGGATACTTCAAAATGTGTTAATATTTTTACCAAGATTACTGAACACTTCACTTGTGTTAGGTATGTGCGGGTAGTGTCCGTAAGTGTTTTACCATGTGTGTGAAATAATTCAATTTATTTTTAAATTATGGACACATACATGAATTGTTGGATACATGGCGCAGTGTCCATGAAGCGTCGGTGTCTAACACGGATACTACACAATACGATACCTTTGTTGAAGTGTCTGTGCTTCCTAGGTAGTGTTCTTGTATCTCTACATGTACTAGGGTTTGCTCCCATGGCTCTTTTAATAGAATTTTAATTTATAAAAGATTATCATAAAACAAGCTCAATTATTAACAAAAAAAATTATTACAACTTGATGTTGGCAAGTCACTGACAGATTTTCATGATAAAGTGTAGGCAATATTATGCAAGTTTTTATTTACAGTATTATTTGCTACTTACTGGAAGATTCATCACTTACACTTTCATATGTAGTGTATATGTGCTAATGCATGCATGTGTGCTATAAAAGGTTTCTTGACTGTTTGTATAACTTTAGATACTTTCCTTTTTCTTTTCTTTTCTTTCTCACCCCCTCCTCTCCTCCTCTCCTTTTGTTTTGTTAACATTGACCTTTGACCCCTAATTTACGGATTATATAGCAGACAGATTGGTGTTCTTTCAGACAGCATCCTTGAGTTTCAAATTTCCATCTATTGCTTGTAATAATACAAGCTAGTTTATTTGTTCAGTAGAGTTTTAATTTCTCTTTTCGAATATCAAACTCATTGACACTTTATTTTTGGGGCGGTGGTTTGGGGTGTTTTAAATATGATGAAGAAAGGTCTTCTGTAGATTTTGAGATTGAAAACTTTTAGGTTTTCTAATTTAATATATTATTTGGCAAAATGATTGTTGGGTGGGGGTGGGGGGTGATATGATGAAGAACAGAACTTCTTAAGCTTTTGGAATTTAGAACTTTTAGATATTCTGATTTAATATATTTGTCCATTTGACAAATATATTGACGATTACATGATCACAGGTGCCTTGTTCCTTGAGATATTCTGATATTAATTTTGTTGTCACATTCTCAGGGGAGAGGACATTTGGAGTTTTGACGAAGATTGATCTTATGGACAAGGGTACTGATGCAGTTGAAGTAAGTTTGCATTTGAATATATCCAACATAATAATTTGATAAGATCCCATTTATTTTATTTCTTAATCTTCTATGATCATATCAATAGATGTATGTAAATTGATTTAAGCAGCCTTCTATTTTGAGTAAATTGTATTTGAAACATTCCTTTCTCAGCATTGCACTAGCACTTGAAGTGTATTAAATACTAATATTACATGTGTGTGTGTGTATAATATAAATATAAGAAGCCTGTGGAGATTACTTTCAGTAAATCGAGTGAGGACTAAGTTCGATCTGTAGCTTGATTCTCCAGTTAAACACTGAATATGACCATGTCATGATCTGTGATTAAAAAAAGGTACAAGGACATGATAATAAAACACTACTCCATTTCAAACTTCTTCCATCAGTATGACTACATCCTGAAGTTCTCTTTATAACTACTCCATTTCAAACTTCTTCCATCAGTATGACTACATCTTGAAGTTCTCTTTATAACTACTACATTTCAACCTGCTTCACCTCTATAATTGCTACTAAAAATTATCTAGCAATTAATTGGTTTTGAAATTTTGGAGAAGTTCACATGCACTCATTTACCATAACTTTGGTACATTTCTCGGTGATTTGATCAGGCATAATTTCACCATCATCCCATTGATCAAATCTTATTAGGTGAACCTTCTAGAGGTGTGAGCATTAGATCCTCAAAAATATTTGCGATAATTTGGCCTTCGTTTCTCAAATAGAACCTAAAAATATAAATGAGGTAGAATATGATGAGTTTTGGATCTTAGCTATGCAAGTGGAACTAAGTCAATTTTATCAGTTATAATTTTACTCGGTGATTCTCCTTTTTTCTTTTTAGGTTTATTTGCTACTTTATTTATTTTAAAATATGGCAACATTCAATGCTTACTCATGCATGGAAATAATCTTATAATGTAAATTAGGTTTAAGAAAAGTGAATGTGAAGGCCCGTTCGGGATTATATTATAAATACTGAAGGACTTCACCTTAATTTGTTTTTCTGGGTTTCTCAGATCTTGGAAGGGCGGGCTTTTAAGCTACAGTTCCCTTGGATTGGGGTCGTGAATCGCTCCCAAGCTGATATTAACAAAAGTGTTGACATGATTGCTGCTCGGCGTAGAGAGCGGGAGTATTTTGCCAATTCCCCAGAGTACAAGCATCTTGCACACAGGATGGGTTCTGAGCATTTAGGAAAGATGCTTTCCAGAGTAAGCATATGTTTTTGCTGGGGATATTTGCATTATTCATGGTTTTTAACAGAATTTTTCCACATTAGAGTTTTTGTTGATCTTTGATCTTGTTGACATTTTTGTCAGACTAATTATTCTAATGTGGTGATTGATTTCATATTGGCACCCTATATGGTTAATTTTTTCAGCATTTGGAAACTGTCATCAAGTCTCGAATCCCGGGCCTTCAGTCTCTTATTAGCAAGACTATCATTGAACTTGAGTCAGAGTTGAGTCGTCTTGGGAAGCCTGTTGCGACTGATGCTGGAGTAAGTATTGGTGCTTTTTGTTTTGTTTTTCCTTTTTCTGACTTATAATTCTTCAGCTTAATGTACCTGGTGAGACCCTCCTACATTTATTTGGACTAAGTGGTTCATTTATCAGACTAGAATTATTTAGGCCTTTTCATGCTTTGAATTGGCACGGTACACTCGGGCTTTTTTTTAACTCAGTTGTGTTTATCCAGAAGTTAAAAGTGCTTCATCCGTACTAGCAGTCTGAGCACATTTAATATTCTTAAATTTTTTTTTTGTTTTGTTTGATATGCAGGGAAAATTGTACATGATTATGGAAATCTGCCGTGGTTTTGATCAAAATTTTAAAGAACATCTTGATGGCATGTATGTATAGTAAAGTAGTTCTATTTATTATCGCGCTGTAGTTCTTTTATGTCTTCAATGTTAAGTTACGGATCTAACTTTGTGTTTTGATGGTGATTAATTTCTGCAGACGCCCAGGTGGTGATAAAATATACAATGTATTTGATAATCAACTTCCTTCTGCTTTGAAGAGGTTGCAATTTGACAGGCAGCTTTCAATGGAGAATGTACGAAAGCTAATTACTGAAGCTGATGGATATCAACCTCATCTAATAGCTCCTGAGCAAGGATATCGTCGTCTAATTGAATCTTCACTAGTTACGATTAAGGGCCCTGCTGAGGCAGCTGTAGATGCAGTACGTGTTCATCTTTACAACTGTTATGACATCAACATTTATATGCACTTGCTGATTGCACCATGCTGACTGTTCAACTTTTACTGAAATTTATCTTTTGGTCTACCCCCCGTTTTACCCCCTTATATCATTTTTTTAAAAATTATTTTGCTTGGGGCTTCGAGGAGGGATAGAGATGTAAATGGGTCAAGCTGAGCCAAGTAGTGAGCTTTTTAAGCTAAGTTTGGTTGAGATTTGGAGGTGCTCAAGCATGACTTGAAAATTGGCCTCAATTGAACCAGTGCTGAAGGCACATTTATGGCTTGCCTCAGCTCACATTACTTGGTAATGGGTCGTGATCTACTGTTTACTTTCTAGTATCAAGTCTTTTCGAATAACTCTTTACTTCCTAGGAAGATGTTTCTCAATGCTTTTGACTGCATGGATTACTCTATTTTAGTTCTGATAAAAGTAAATATTTTAAAAGTTGGTTGTGATGATGCTCCTGCGTGATCTCACATGTCTCCGTGACATATAAGATTTCTTATTTGGGTAGAATTGAATGCTAGAATTGAATGCAGGATCGAACATGGCAACTTGAATTTTATGATCTTATCATTACTATGTCTTTGGATGTTCATGAGCGTGCCACTGCAGGCCTATGGGTGCTCAAATTTGGTTTGAATACCAAGAACAAAGGCAAGGCCAAGATGGTCTGCTATACAATTATAGTGTCCACAAAAGAGACTATATTCCCCACTGATTTACAATTCCTTCCCTGAAGCCAAAATAAATAGAGTAGAGAATAGAGAACTGAAGCATGCATGTCGGAATCTCAACTCCATCCAGGGACCGCCTATTCTGCTCGCCCCACGACCCCCACCATAAACAAATGGGCGCCACCCTCCATGCATCTCGAGCTTGCCTCCTCACCGCACACCCTCTCCAGGCCTCGAGCATACTCTGTGGGAACTCCAACATGACCCAATGGACGCCAAAAATAGCAAACAGCATGGCCCAGGTGTGTCGAGCTACTGGGCAATGCAAGAGAAGATGAGAAACTGACTCTTCATCTCTGTTGGATAAACAACCCCAATTGACAAATCTTAGGTTTTTTTCCTAGCCTTGGGGGTAGATGTTACTGATTTCAGTTTCCAGTTAGCCAGTAACTGTTATGTTCTAGTAAGCTTTAGGTGTTTATTATTTGCAACTTACACACATGATCATCACGGCCTTTAATATGAAGGGACTGTAGATAGATGCAGCCTTTGCATTATTTTGTGTAAAACGACTAATCTTTGATTGACTACTCATTCTCATGGTTGTTATCCTGAGTTTTTACCATTGCGCTGAGTAATGACCCCTAAGCGTGATTGACTTTTTTCTTTGTGGTTGTGCACCCAAGAGTTTCTAACTTGAATTTTTTTTTTAGCATGTATGTGTATGTTGTGTCATATGCACGTGTATTACATGCTTTCAGTGAAGGGATAAGAACCTCACAGGAATTTTTAACAATAGGGAATAATAGATGGGTTTTTCGTTTCCTTTCTGATTGCTAGTTTTGATGCAAACATATCTTGTAATTTGCTTTCATAATTTACCCTGATTTGGCCATCATGATAACACTGCGTAGAAGTTTATTGGAGAAAAACTCTGTTTCACACAGATAGCGGTGAGTGTTTGTTAAAATTTCTAGTAGACAATTTTCAAGGGATGATATAAGATGAATTTTGTGTTTGTCTTACATTCTTCTTATACTTCAAATTCTTTACTTGATATATAATACTTTTGCAATGATTTCAGGTTCATGGCATACTGAAAGAACTGGTTCACAAGGCAATGAGTGAGACTATGGCAAGTTTTCGGACCACCTCTGTTAAATTATATTTATGAATTTCACATTTGGTTGTTGGTATTGTCAGAGCACTTTTGGCTGCTCCAGAGCAAGCAACATTACTCTAGAAGCAGCCAAGGTGATCTGGCTATAGGGTCAGCCTTGATTTTAAAATATATGTGGTAATGCAGTAATTTGGGACACAACTTTACAACAATACTTGCCTCCACACCAGTGAGGATCTTCTCCAAAACACTGGTGTGGCATAATGATAGGATGACACGGAAAAAGGGTACTAAAAGAAGCATTACTTTACCATTTTTTTTAATAAATATAAAAATAACACGTGTCGTCCACCACACCTGTGGTTTGGAGGATGTTCCTCCTTACAAATATGGAGGCAAGTATTGGCCTTTTCTAAAATTAGTTATATGGCCATAAATTGTAATGAGAAATAACTGCAAACTGCCGAAAAATTGTAGAAATAGTTTCATTCCTTTTATTTTATGTGGTGCTTAAATTGTGCTTTGCCTCAATAGTAATGCATAAATTGATAGATACTGGACTTACAGTTGGGGATGCCTTTACTTATTTATGCTTGCAGGAGCTAAAACAATATCCCACTCTTAGAGTGGAGGTCGGGAATGCAGCTATTGAGTCATTGGACAGGATGAAGGATGAAAGCCGAAAAGCAACTCTACAGCTAGTAGAAATGGAATGTAGTTACTTGACAGTCGATTTCTTCCGGAAGCTTCCTCAAGATGTTGAGAAGGGTGGAAATCCAACACATTCCATTTTTGATAGATATAATGATTCATATCTTCGGCGAATTGGTAAGTAGCAAGGATTATTTTTATAATTACAATTAATTGAAGCATGCAATGCAAAACTTGGAGAAAATTTGATTTATTTGCAACTTGTTCACTTGAAGCAGTTTTTGTTCTGTTTTAATTCGTCCAATTTTAATTAATGTTGTTCGCTCTCTCTTTCTCTCTCTCTCATGATAAACAGGAACAACTGTCTTGTCTTACGTCAACATGGTTTGTGGAAGTTTGAGGAACTCTATCCCCAAGTCCATTGTTTATTGTCAAGTGCGTGAGGCCAAACGCAGCTTACTCGATCATTTCTTCACTGAGTTGGGTAAAAAGGAGGTTAGCATTCTATTCAAACCCCCCAAGCTTACAGCAAAACAAAAAACCTAGATAAGGGGGATGGTGATAATGCTTATCTACCTCGTCAAATTGTTTTGCAGGGTAGACAGTTAGGGTCATTGTTGGATGAGGATCCATCGGTAATGCAGCGGCGCATCTCTCTTGCACAGAGGCTGGAGTTATACAGAAGTGCACAAGCAGAGATTGATGCTGTTGCGTGGGCCAAGTAGAAGGGTTTACGTTTTTGTTTTCTCTTTTCCTTTTAGTATAGCCATGGGAGGGATGTGATTCTTTGATTTATGACGACGATAAATACTTTATATGTCAGTGAGGGAGGGGGTTGATGTATTAATTGTTTAGTATACTTTTGAGAGATTTCTATGATATGCTCTATTGTATCCACGGTTTTATTTTATTTACAATTTGGGACCAATTTGTCATTAATTGTCTCTCATCTATCATTTATATTGATATATATATATATATGTATATATACACACACACACACACACACACGCTTCCAAAATTCCAAAACTAGGGCTTGTTCTGTTTACAAAAATTGGAATTCCTTAAAGTAACTCTTTTATGCTGTTCATGAACTACTGAAAGGCTAAAGCCTGTGTGTGGAATCTGAGTTTCGGCAGGGTGTGCCTATTGTAAAAGGCATTTCCTGGGAAAACAGCGAGAACTTACACTTGTGAGGTTCCCATGTGTTAGAGCATTATACAGTCTTATGTCGGTTTTGAAATACTGCATCTCTGTAAATTTTTTTTGTTTTTTACTTCGGTATGGGGTGGGGTTTTTTGTCCTGAATAAAAAGAACTTTAATTGAACAACCACTAAATTCGTTACTTTATTCTACTTATCAAGTATATTTAGTATCTGGGGAATTGTTGTCTGTTGATTGGTTTGTGTGACTCTCACATTGAACCTGTTAAATTGAACAGCCACCAAATTTAATGTTGATTGGTTTACCCATGGTATAAGTTGTTTCCCATGGTATTAAGAGGATGATTTCTGTAAATCTTAAGCTAAAAAAATGTGTTCAATTGTGGAAAAAATTGTGTTCAATTATGGAAGAATATTATGAAAAATGTGTTCTAGGATATTTTTTATGAATAATGATAGGGCAACCGAATACTAGTCAATAGGTGTTTTTGGCTCTTACCATAACCATTTATCTCTCTATATATATACACATAAAATTATACTCATGAAAGTTCTCCATCTTCATGTTTAGGGAGAGAAAAAGTAATTTCAGAGAGATAGAGAAAAGGAAATTTAGACCCAAATCTTAGAGGGAGAAAGTGAAATAAGAGAGAGGTTAATTTTTAAAGAGAAAAGATACGAGAATTTCATATAGAGATGGAGGAGAGAAATTTTTAGGGAATTTCAGATAGTGGAGAGAGAGAGTGACCGAGAATTTCAGATCTAAATCTTAGAGAGAACAAGAAGAGAATGACATATAGAGAGAGTGGTAAACTCTAATAAATTTTTAGAGAGAAAAAGTTAATGAAAATTTTAGAAAGAGAAATATCTTTTTCAAAGAGAGATTAGTGAATCTAAAGGAGAGAAACGTGAAGGATATAAAATGAAAATAAGTAATTGACCTGCAAAATCACATCAGGATACCTATATTACTCGTTTTGAATAATTTGATGATCGGTTTCTCTAAAAAGAGATTTAAAGAAAAGAATGGAGGTGCGGGGAATCGGACCCCGTGCCTCTCGCATGCGAAGCGAGCGCTCTACCATATGAGCTACACCCCCTTTTGTTGTTGTTAGTCGCACAATTCATTAATACTTAGTATATATCTTTACTCCACGCAACAAATTTACTCCACTAAGAGTATTTGTGCCAGTTGTCGAATCTGAAAGCTGACAATGCTTGAGAAGAGGACATTGGGGTTCACACGGAAGAAATTGAAGAATTGCTTCTCCCTATGATATGATATGATATGATCAGACGGTTATTGTAATGTAGCGGAGGATTAATAAGCTAACATGTCCTCTTCTCCCAATAATGACAAAAACTAGTTGGGACTGCAGGCTTTGCTAAACATCAGTAAATGCATGTGATTTGGATCCATACAGCTCCGCCGAATTAGACTTGTTCTGGAAAAACCCTAAATTCTTAACAGAAATTATTAGGCAATACAGTGTTTAACAACAATATTCATTCCATTTTTTAAACTAAAATGTATATTAAATGGCCTAACACATCAAGTGGATTGTTAGATACATTATTTTTTCTTCATATTTTTTTGGACATGGGGGTTCGGTCTTCTGCTAAGAAATCCCACTAATATTAGTAATTTCTACTAAATCCAGGGGTAATTCTGCAAGTCCTTTCTATAAAACAGAACATAACTTCATAACTCCTACTTTCCACACCCAACCCTGCATTTCTCTCTTCCTTTTGGCTCACTCCATTTAAGCACCCTTCTTTTACCACTTTTACGGATTTGCCCCTTCTTTGAAACAGCTCGAGTGTAAGATGGAGACTATAGGAGGTGTGAGATGGAGAAAGAAAGCTCTTAAGCCTATTGAAACAAAGAGAAAAGCCGGAGATGAGAGTGAAATTGCAGCGGAGGAAGAGCCGTTAAGTCCGGCGGCGCGTTTGTTTCACGAACCAAGTTTCAATGTACACATCATAGCAATCATGGGTTGCAAGACCCGAATCTATCCTCAAGTTGTTAAAGACAAGTTGGTGCACACTCTACTTAAGCACCCTCGTTTCTCTAGTTTGCAGGTACCTATATATATATATATCCACACACACTGACACACACATACACACAAACACACGTATATATGTGTGTGTTTATTTATAAGGCTATAAATCAATTATTTGATGCCTATGACAAATTTCTATAGAGCCGAAATGGAGTGAAGAAAGAGATGAGATCGATGATACTACATGCATCACTAAAAATCCAATATTTTGCTCAACCACATATAAATCGAGTAGTTTACACGTGATGCTTGGCATAACATGCCAAATTTATTTTAAACCGAATTTGAGTGAAGAAAGACAGCAGAGGATGTTTGCATGCATCATATCCAATTCCCTAAGGGGGATCCAGATCCTCTCCAGTTTTTCATCATCGGTCCTCCACACTATTAAATCAACAATGCATCACATGTAATGCTTAGCACTATTTCACAATGCAACACATTTATTGCATTTTCAATCTAAAGTTGTGTGGTGAATTTAAATGTATTTAGACTACACAAGACCTTAATTTACAATATGAGGATCTGATACCCTAATCATATATCCAACATGGTGAACTCAATAGTATGTATATATACTTAATTCGTGTGTGTATATATATATATACACATATATAAACACACAAAATGTTTTTACTGAAATTTGTATCAATAAATTTAGTTACTATTAAGGAGTAATAATACCCAAATATATATATATATATAATTATTAATTTTTTTTAAAGATTCTTGTAAAATTAAATAAGAATTGAATCTCTTTTCCAGGTGTGTATTGTAACCAACAAAAACTCCTTAGCTATGTTCGGTTGTATAAAATTGGAGTATTGAAATTGGTGAAATTGAAGAAAAATATCTCACAAAATTGATCTAAATTTTTTTTCAATTTCATTAATTCTAAATCCAAAACTTAATTTCATGTGATCCAATATAGATTTCTACAAGTTTTTCATTTTCCTATTCACAATTGCCCAAAAATTATAAGTCTCGTTTCTGGGCACAGGTAGTGGATGAGAAAAATGGCGGGATAATGAAATGGGTTCAAACAGAAGTGAACTTAGACCACCACGTTATAGTGCCAGACCTTGACCCTAACATGGAGTCGCCAGACAAGTTCGTGGAAGACTACATTTCCAACCTCAGCAAATCCACCATTGACAAATCCAAACCCCTATGGGATCTCCACCTTCTCAACGTCAAAACCTCCGAATCCGAGGCGGTCGGCATTTTCAGAATTCACCATTCCCTCGGCGACGGCACGTCCCTCATGTCTCTTTTACTCGCTTGTACGCGCAAAATGTCCGATCCCGAGGCATTGCCGACTATTCCGGTGAAGAAGAATTCGGGTTCTGATCATAGCTCAGGAGGATTGTGGCACTACTTGATTGGGGTTTGGTCTGTTCTTGGGTTGGTTTGGAATACTTTAGTTGATGTTGTGATGTTTATAGCGACCGCATTGTTCTTGAAGGACTCGCCGACACCGCTGAAGGGTCGGCCGGGTCTTGAGTTCACTCCTCGGCGATTTGTTTTCCGGACAATAAGTTTGGATGATATGAAGTTGGTGAAGAATGCAATGAACATGGTAAGTCAATTTTCAATTTTAAAGTTGTTTATGCATTAATTGTTATTATTTTTTTTATGGGGTAAATTTTATGCACACTAAGAATTCATAGAATTAATCAAATTAGAATTTGATTTTATTCGGTGTAGATTTCATTAAGAACATTTAAAAAATTAGTCATTAGTTCGGACAGTCAAAAATTTTGAACTAATTAATGCCACTCACTTGCCCTTCAAAGATGATAAAGTATATAATACCAAGGGTTATGTTATACGTGGTATCTCACTTAATGCATAATTATGTTTTCTTTTGAAAACTATCAATTTCTCATATATGAAGAAAAATTAAAAATTTTCATGACTATGAATTTGGCAGGGTAACATGTATATAAGATGATATATATACATAATTAGAATCAGTGCTTAATTTAATATGTGGTCAGAATTAGCTGCATGCCATTTGAATTGTAATTATGTTGTGTTTCATCTCATCACTTTCAATATATATATATATGATTTATAAATAATGCACACGTACATATGAACTAATAATATTGTGGTTCTTATATATGATTGGTAGACTATCAATGATGTTGCCCTGGGAATTACACAAGCTGGTCTGTCTAAGTACCTTAACAGGAAATATGGTAATTATTCTCAAACTATACCATCTACTCCTATCATTCAAATATAGTTACAGGGGTGTCTTTCTTATAATTATCAATTTGTATGTGTATATATATATATATATATATATATATATATAGCACGTACACCAATTATTCTTGCATAAATTTGGCAGCTGAGTTGGGTAAGAAAGATGAGGGAACAACAGAGAAGAGAAATAATCTCCCAAAAGATATTCGGTTACGATCCACTCTTCTTATTAACATAAGACCATCGTCTGGAATTCAGGTGAGTAGTGCTTCTCAATCTACATTCCAAATGTACGTCTCTCAATTAATGTGTTCATATTACTACATAATTAATCAAATTTGGTGAAATGAATGAACAGGGTCTAGCTGATATGATGGAGAAGGACGCAGAAGCAAAATGGGGGAACTGGATTGGTTATGTGCTGCTCCCCTTCACCGTTGCATTAAGAGATGACCCATTGGATTATGTTCGAGTAGCCAAGGCCACTGTTGATCGGAAAAAGCGCACTCTTGAAGCTATTTACACTTTTTCAATTGCTGAGATTGTTCTCAACTTTTTTGGCATTAAGGTATATATTTCACTTTTCTGCAACTCTTTTTACACACTCTATATTGGCAACGAGTCAATGACAAGCAAGGGCGACACTAGTTATGGGGGCAAAATTAAGTAAAATCCTAAAAGAATAGGTTTCTATAAATAGTAAGTTTGAAAAATACAAACAAGATTCAACATGTATCCCTTTCCAAAATTTATTGAGAATCTCAGGTTCAGGGTGTTCAAAAAATTCGGTAAACCGAAAAATCGGACCGAAGCGTACTGAATTGGGCGGTTTGGACTAGTTGTATAGCGGTTTGGTCCGGTTCTGGGCCCAAAATTATGGAACCGTAATTTTTCGGTCCGGTCCTGATTTAGGGTTATGTTAGACCGGACCGAACCATTACTATATTATAATATATATATATATATATATATATATTTATATATGTATATCATATTCTAAACTTAAATCAAGTAAAGTTCTCCCGTGCTCCCTTTCTTTCTTTTGTTTTTTAAATTCCTTAAATTTCTTTTAAAAAAAGTCAAATTTCCCTTTTCAAATATATTCCAATTTTCTTTCCTTTCAAATATATCTCATTTTTCTTTCCTTTATTTCTTCTTAAAATTCTTTTTATTGCGTCTTATATCAATGTTAGCTGATTTATTATTTTTATTTATTACTTTTTATTTTACTTTACCCCCTTTAAATTAAAATAAAATAAAAAGAAAATTAACTGAAACCGACAAACCGAACCGAACCAAATTGGTTTTTCGTGGTTTGGTTTTATGGACATTATGGTTCGGTCTGGTTTCAAAAATAGTAGAACCGTTATAAAATATTTGGTCTCAAAATACTCCCAATCAGGTCCAAACCAGACCGTGTGCACCCTTACTCAGGTTAAGTCTTTTTTTTTTTTTTTTTTTAGTTCACATTTTGAAGGGAAATTCAAAAAATTTCAAATACAACCCCCTATCTCTATTATTTTTCTCATTTACACTCTTGGTGAAATTCTCTTACATTATGAATAATCTTCTTATACTTGCTTTCTGAAAATTCTATTGTAAAAAGATATATATATATATACACACACACACACACACATACATTCATATATTCACTATTTTGTTTATTTATTTATTTTTGGAAATTTAAGCAAATGTGTATATATATTGTGCAAGTTTTTACAACTTTGGGCTTTACCCGAGACAGGTACAAGCCCAAACATACAATATCAAGGCTATAAAGCCTTCTATCCAAATGGGCCTTGGAACAGCCCAGTACAATCAGTCCACTATTTTAAACTTTTTATTTATTTATTTATTTTTTCATTTTTTATAAGTATTCACAGACACTGCCAACGAACCCCTCTCATCTCTTGAGAATAGAGAAATTATACTAATAATTCATTAGTCACTATTTTAAACTTGCGAATTTTCTGGCTAATGATCCTACGAGGACACTGGCAAACAATACAAACTGCTAATATATATATATTTTCGAAAAATTAGTAGTAAATGAGTTGTTTCAGAGTTTATAAATTTGATTTTTTTTTGCATGGTTAATAGGCAGCAAGTGCTTTATCGCACAAAGTAATCACTCACACGACAATGTGCTTCTCAAATTTAGTCGGTCCACTCGAAGAAATTGGGTTTTATGGCCATCCAATGGCTTACCTTGCTCCAAGCTCTTATGGCCAACCACACGTAAGTATATATCATGCATTAATAACCACAAACTATATATTATGATATTCTAAATATTGTGATGTGTGTGTGTGTGTGTATATATATATATCAAACTGCAATATTCAGTATATGTCTATTTACTACATGGTTTCAGAGGAAAAATTGAAAATTAACTTTAGTCAACCTCACGTGGTTTATTTATTTATTTATTTTTAACCATTTTAACTTAATATATAATTAATTTAATTTTGTAGGCATTGATGATTAACTTCCAAAGTTATGGGAAGAAGATGACCATTGTTCTATCTGTTGATGAGAGTACTATTCCTGATCCCCACCAGCTCTGTGATGATATTGTAGAATCACTGAAACTCATCAAAGCTGCTGTTCTAGCAAAAGGGCTTGTCAAGGATGATCATTAGAAGGGGTTGAATTTAATTAATTACATGCATAAAAAACAATTTAATACACACACACATATATATATGTGGATGCTCGAATACAAACATAATGTTAATTAAAATATAATTCGAAGTTAGTATGGTCTGCATCGTGCATAGTTAGTACGTGTTTCATGTTTTATTAAGTTGCCTATTTACTTCTTTTTTTTTTTTTTTTTTTTTTTTGGTCCAAGTAAAATAAATTTCAAATACTAATATTTGCCTTTTGTGTTTCATTTTACTTGTACACCGAATGTTTAATCAGATGACTCCCTTTCAAATTCCCAATCTAAATGAAAAAAATGTAAATTCTCTCTCAATTCTATTTGAGTGTTTCTCAAGTTCATCCTAGTGCTTTATTTGAGGTGGAGAAATTTTCAGATGAGGTAGAGCTATGAAGAGCTTGAGGTGGAGCTACGAAGAGATCCTTATTTGAGATGGAATCTAAGTTACTAGTATGTTTGAATTGGTTCAAGAACTTTGAACCAATTTAACTAGAGTGATGAGTTGGACTTTGACTACTGCCTTAGTTGAACTAGTTCAAGTGAGGCAGTGAGTGACAACACTTTTGGGCAACAAAGTTGAACTAGTTCAAGTGTTGCTGAATCGGTTCAACTCCCTTTGGAAGCGTGAAATAGTTTCCTAATCAATTTTGGAAGCCAAGACTTAGGGAAAAGGTTGAAGATTTGGAGAAGAAGTTGTACCTGCTATTTTAGAGTTGAAGACGGATATGATAACTCTTTGTAGGCAAGTTGATCATTGTCTAATAAGGAATTGAGTTTGAAGACTCTATAAATATATATGGGTACGAGAGGTTTAGAGAGAGAGAAGAGAGATTAAATGTAAGGGATTTAAGAGTGAGTGTTGTGAGGAGAGAAGTGAATATATATAATTCTTGAGTGTATACATGTAGCTCATAAGAGATGATGAGTGAGTGAGTGAGGTTTTGACATGTGGTTGTATATTCTCTTTCTTGATTCATAATAGTGAAAATTTTCTTTCCCATGGGTGTAACCCTAGAGTTGGGTGAACCATGTAAAATATTGTATTATATGTAGATGTGTGTAATTATTATCTTCATATATACTTGTGTTGATGTGATTTGATAATACTTCTGTTGTGTATGATGAAGGAAGAATTCAACTCTTAACAACAACTTGAAAAAAAAAAAAAAAAAATCAACTATCTTGCGATCCCCAATAGAATTTATCCTAATGCAGTTTTAACATAAATTATCCTTAATTATTTATTTTACGGTAATGATACACCTTCAAAAATACGCAAGCATACGATAGAGCACACAATTCACTCACACAACACTCGTTATCTTTAAATTCAAAAAATGTATTATTATTATTTTTTACTTTAATTTAAAATTCCTTAGGTGGGATCGATATATCCATCCTCCTACTTTAACAATGTCCTCTCATTATTAATTTCAAGTCGCTATCAAGCATGCTAATTTAAGTATTTAAATTCAGTTAATCTGGACACAAAATATATGATGTTAAAAATACAACGTTAAAAATGTGTGAAGTCCGAGACAACTTAGTACGTACTCTTTACGAAACTTGAAGAGAGCTAGCCCACCACAATGAGCTTGTTAATAACATTAATTATTTAAATTAGGCATGTTATGTTTCACAAGACACTCAATTATTTAATCTCATCAATGATGCTACACATTACATGAGGAGAGCTAATCCACCACAATGAGCTTGTTAATAGCATTAATTATTGTGGGTCGTGTGACGCTTGTGGACCAAAATCTCACTGCTGGTAAAGTGTCAATCAATGTGAATTGAATATGAAATTTAATTAGAACATGAAATCTGTTACACCTTGTAACATTTCCCCTTAATTTTTTATTTATTTATTTTTAATCATGGTAGGAAATTCACATACTAATTTTGATAGTAGGAGAATTTAAACTCTTGACATTTTATTTTAAAAGATGTGAAAATATCATTAGTTTACAACTCTTGATCTATTATTAAAAAATTTAAACTTCAAATATTTTGACAAAGAATAGTGTTATACTTTCTAAATTATTCTCTGTTAATAAATGAAAATAGAGGTCACATGAAAAATGTAATCATAGATAAAATAAGAAAGTAGTGATCCTATTAATCCAGTGAGTAGTGATGCACCTGAAATATAGTTTGAGGGAAGTCAGGATTCAATACCTGTGTGATCCTTGTTTCTTCTCTATATAAATTAAGTTTTAAGAGTCTTTAAATCATTACTATGGTCGTCACCATATAGAATAAGCCAAATTAATTTAGTGGTGGTTTTCATGATTGATAAGTCAAATAAAGAACTATGTTTTTATGTTTAATGTCAACTAAATTAGCTGAACCTAGGAAGGAGTGTAGGACAAAATTAAATGCCCATTCTCGAAGGCAGTGACAAAGTTGATCTTTTATAGGTATGATAAAGATGTGAAACTAATTAAGTTTGACTATGAGATTAAATTGGTTCTATATTAGCTAATTGACAGTGAAACCTATCATATTCCTAATTAATTCTAGATGTTAAACCTATAATAGTTGAATCATGAATGAGTACAAATTTACCTTGCCCTTAACTCAATTTGACCCTTTTGATTTTCATGTAAAGTTTTATGCGTAAACATTTGTCTAATTATGTATATTTTAATCTGCTGATTTTCTGGTTTTTGTCAGTGAGCTTCAAGTGAAGATTGTTGTAGGTTCAGTTTGGTTTTTTTTTTTCCCTCCCAATTTAAGGGCTCATTGTACATTCTTTTTTTTATCTATGCACAAGCTTATCCTTTAACTAAAAAAAATAAAAAATTTGAAAAGTGAATTAAGCTCATAAAGAACTTTGCACTTAAGTAATGGTACACACATGGAATATACTGTTTGATTTAATTTTGCTCATCAAGAATGATATTGTAGCAAAATAATAGGGCATTGTTACATCACTTGGGTGATGAGAGCTTTTTAAAAATTATTAATATATATGAAGGGTGCGTAAAGTATACTATATTAATAATATCATTTCATACATTTTTAGGCGACGTGAACATCACAACAGTATCTTTGAAAAGTCATAAGTTGTACTACATCAAGAGAGTAGTGTTAGTTAAGTTGCCGTATGCACATGGAAGAATATATACCATTTGAATTAATTTGGTCATTAAGAATGCTAGTGTAGTAAAAACAGTCCGTCAGTCCCACATTGTCACATGTAGATGTATTTTAAAAACCGTAATTATGAAGAGTGTATAAAAATGTCGCATTATTTATTTTCAGGTGACATATCATAATATATACCACTCTTTATATTTCAAGAGATTCCACGCGAGTGAGTTAGTCAAACTCAATAGTAATTAAGAATCCGCACTACAAGATCCAAGAAGATGAGTTAGTTAAGTGTTGATATAATAGCATTAATTATAGCTATAATTTTGGATAGGGTCATAGTTAGTAAAATACGATATAAAAAAATACGAATACAAAAACATATAAGTATAATTCAATATTTTATTTAAAATATGTTTAAAAAATTCGACAAAAAAATACGAAAACATAAAAATATAAATACGGATACGTACGTATATAATACGTTATATATATTAAAAATTTGGGATAAAAAATTCAGCTGTACACATTTTATTGTTTTCTTATATATCATGTATTTGTAAAGACAATAAATAATATGTAACAAATAATAAAATAAATATATTACAATTGACACTATCACAATAATTATATATATAAAAAAAATTCATATGTATATAGTGCAATACTTTACTAAAATACCTAGGGAGTGTGGTGATATACAAATTTCTAAAATAATAATAATAATAAAGATACTAACAAAATTTAAAAAATCTCACAACAAAACAAAAAATTTATAAATATTTACAAATATTAATAAAAACTTATGATTCTTCAAGATTATAGTATTCCACAAGTGTGGATATATATATATATATCTTTTATTACTTTGATTAAAGAGTATTTATTGGAGTGACAACAATAATGCTTCGTTTGGTTGGAGGGATGGAAAAATGGATGGAAGGGATAGGGGAAAGGATGGATGAGGCATCCTTAGGGAATGGAAGGTGTCTCTCTCACTTTTTGTTTGGTTGAATAGAATGGATAGTAGAAATGATGGGGTGACACAATTTTTTTGTTTGGTTGGAATGAAGGGAAATAGGATTTTTATATTTTTTTTACTAACATGCCCTCAGTATTTAAAAATTTTAAAAATTTAATATCTATTCCAAATTTTTAGGAAGGTTAGAAATGGAAAATTGATATTTGTATTAGTTATTATTTCTTTCTCTCATCTTCCTCCCAATTTTGGGCCGATTGAGAAATACAAATGAAGGAGGGATGAAGCATCCCTCCTTGCTTCCTCCTGATTTTCCCTTCCCTCCAACCAAACATGAAAAAGTTAGTTTATCCCCTCTCTCATCCATCCTTTCTCAATCCTTCCCTCCAACCAAACATAGCATAAGAGATTAAAAAAAGAAGAAGAAGTTATATCTTGAATGTAGAACAACTGAGTGTGAGAGTGGTCACAACCTTTCCCAAGTTTGCACAACAAATATTATTATTTTGATGAAATACGCTATTAGAAACATGAAGTTCGCGAACGAAAAGAAAAAAAATAATTAGGTTATGAATTAAACGGAACAACCAAAACGAATAAACGCCTTAGATACGGGGTTTAGCGTATCTTTCAACTTTGATTTGCAAACAAAAATATTTTAAAATTTGTACGTACACATTTAATTTGCATATCATATGCGAATTAGGAAGAAGTTACACATATATAACTAACGCATGGTGGATGAAGGCACAACGTGCCTTTCCAATCACGCTCGCTATACATGTTACTAACTTTAGGACGATTATTTGATGGCCCGCAAGGCATTTAATTTGCGTATCATACGTGAATTATGAATAAGTTACACATATATAACCAACACGTGGTGGATGAAGGCACATAATTTACGTATCATACGTGAATTACAAATAAGTTACACATATATAACTAACACGTGGTGGATGAAGGCACAACGTGCCTTTCCAATCACGCTCACTATACATGTTACTAAATGTAGGACGAATATTTGATGGCCGGCAAGGGCCGCCGGGTACTGTTGTGGGTAGATTATATTATGTTGCAGAATTTGTCAGGTGGGCTATAATATTTTCTTACTTTGTGTCCCACTTTGTCAATTATTTTGTATTGTTAATTGGCGACATGGCCACGTTACCCACCCATGTAGATGTGATCAAGTGGGGGCTGTATTTTATTATATTCGTATACAATTTAATCAAATTTTTAATAATGCCCCTACTAAACAATCCCTTAAAATTCCTGGTTTCTTCTTTTATTAGAAATTTTACGAGCATACAAATATACAATTATACATGATTTTTGCTAGAATTCTTTAATTTGAATTGTTTTTATTATGTTGACTTGATAATAATTCAAAAAAAAAAAAAAAATTGAAATGTAAATATGAGCAATTTTAAATGAAAATATCTATTAAGTTTTATTTATTTATTTTTTATTGTAACTTAAAATTTTCTATTTTATTATTGTTCAAGGCCGCCCCTCCCAATTCATTTTCTAGCTGGTTGCTAAACATGCATGGTAAATGATTTTTAAGCATGTTTGAAATTATTTTTACTGAACTCCTAATGTTTCAATTTTGGTTAACTTACCAATAAAATTTTTATGAATTTCGGGTGGATGGTCTAGTGACAAGACTCTCACACGCCACTGTTGTCAGGAAAAAAAAAAAATATCATAGTTTGAGATCTCATTTAGAAGTAATTTGATTATTATTTATAAAATGATTTTTTATTGTTAGACTTTAAAAAATTCTAATTGAGCTCTTCTACTTAACATTTATATTTCTAACTTAGTATTTTCCTTTGAGGAGAGGTCGATCCTTACTAGGAGCAATGTGAGCTTGTACCTGCCTATCCTTATTAGCCCAATACACATTCTATCTCTATTTAATGTGGGACAAGAAGAATCTGTTACACCTATACAAGATTTGTAAATTTAATAAGTAGGGTGGAACTTGATTTGAAATCTCAAACAAAATTACCTAGAAGGTAATGTTTAATCTTGTTTCTAAAAATAGTCTTCAAGAAATTTTAAAATCATAAAAAATTAATGCAAAACAGGTGTTTTTTGGATTATCTTAATTGGTTGGATCCTTAAAATTTTAAAACCCAATCAAATATTATAAGAATGCATAAATTTAGTCTGAGAAGAGTCACACAAACCATCTTATATGCATGGAAAGCTTGAAACGAGCTCGGCAACGTGGTCATTATCATCCACAAGATTATAGTTTGGTACTTTAAATATGAAAGTAGTCTAATAGAGTTTCCATGAATTTTAGTTGTTTATGAAATTTTCTATTCTCTCATTATTTTTGTTTAGGCTAGAGTTGAAGGAAGTTTGCTTTGAATTTTTGTGGCCGTTTAATTTTAAAATTAGGGACTTATTTTAAAATTAGGGACTTATTTGCTATTTTCATAACTTTTAGAGTTCATCTGCTATTAGGAGTTGAAAAATTAAATAAAAAACACATAAAATATATCCAAGAGTTCACTAAAGAATTAGGATTACACTCACGGTTGTAAGGAGTTCATTATAATGATAAAAAAAAGACACCAGATATAGAGAATTCAGAATAAATATTTTTCGCGCACGGCTGTAAGAAGTTCATTATAATGATAAAAAAAGACACCAAATATAAAAAATTCAGAATAAATATTCTCCTCGTAACAAGTTATATATGCAAAATTAGACCTCAATGTACAGTAATTATCAACCTTGACATTACCCATCAAAGCTACTCTCCAACTATGTTTGTAGTTAGAGTGGGTGCCAAGTAGGGATTTTTTATTTATTTTTATTTTTTTCTTATTATTATTATTATTATTATTATTTTTTTTTCAATACCAAGTAGGCTAACACTTTGGGAGAGATGTAACAATTTGTCAAATCAACACACCCACATAGTAAATATTCACATCAAAATCTATCCTCCTATGGGATTGCATATCTACATAAAAAGTCCAGTGTTCGACTCCTACCAAGCCTTTTAATTTTTTTGATTTAATTGGTACTGTAATTGAGGGGCTGGTTATAGTACCCTCGGTTTGTAGCTCGGGATGGGTCACTCAGGGGTCCTGCCCAGGGGAGTTCCGAGTTTTCAAAAAATCAAAAAAAAAAAAAGTGTACGTAAAAAGTCGCACCTTTTTCGAAACAGTGTGATTCGTTGCTGAAACAGCGTGGTTGGTTGCTGAAACAGTAAGAGAGTACGAAGAAAACATTAAAATTTCGAGAACGAGGAAAACGTGTAAGAAATAATGGTCTGAAGTGATAATTGAAAAACTCTATATAAAGGAATAAGCTTTGCAACTAGAGGCACCTACTTTTTTATTTTGATTTAGCTTATATATATCTATATAGAAACTGTAGTGGGAGAGTCAACTAGTGACTAAATTATTATGGATAGTATATCAGGTCTCACAGTTCTTAAGCCAATTCAAACGGCCAAAGCAGATGGCGAAGAAACTATGGTTATGGATGAACCATTGAGTCCTATGGGTCGTGTGTTTCATGAACCAGGGTCCAATGTTTACATCATAACCATCATTGGCTGGAAATCACAAGTCCACCCTGACGTCTTGAGAGCTAACTTGATGCATACTCTGCTTAAGCACCCTCGTTTCTCTAGTTTGCAGGTATAAGTACTGATATTATTCTTTTTCTCAAAATTTAAACAAACAGGCACGTATACATTCACAATATTGTTCCTCAACTTTACTCTCTCTTTCTCAAAAATTTAAACAAACACAGCACGTAAAAAGAAATATCGTACCATTTGAGTTACTATATTAGTATTTGAAGTTCAGTTTTGATTGTCTGGCCAATTTAACTTGGCCGTTTGGGGACCTACTTGAAACCATGATGAATCTATTACTGTGTAACTTAAGTACAGAACCGGCATATAAATTCTGTTTGAATATTACACTTTTTTTTAGGACATAATATAATTTAGGGAAGTGCATCTATATATAGTAACAAACACAACGTACATCTTGATTTGATTTCCTCAAGCTGATGAATTGCATTGGATTTCTGATTCATTTATTTTTTGATACTAATTTTAAAAGGCATTACAGGTTGGCAACAAAGAAAATAGCGGAGAAATTAGATGGGTTCATACAGATGTGGATGTGGACAACCATTTCATAGTCCCAGACCTAGACCATAACATGAAATCACCAGATAAGTTTGTTGAGGATTACGTTTCCAACTTGAGTACAACCACCATTGACATGTCCAAGCCTATGTGGGACTTTCATCACCTCAACGTCAAAACCTCGGACGCTGAAGCCGTTAGCATCCTTCGAGCCCACCACTCTATCGGTGACGGCACGTCACTCATGTCTCTGCTACTTGCTTGTACACGCAAAGTCTCTGATCCTAAGGCTTTGCCAGACATTTCCGTAACTAAAAAATCGAACGCGATTCACTCCCGTGGATTTTTCTCGATTTTTCAAATGGCCTGGAACACTGTAATTGATGTTATCATGTTTATGATGACTGCATTGTTTTTGAAGGACACCGAAACACCTCTGAAAGGTTCACTAGGTGTCGAGTTGCGTCCTCGGCGTTTCATTCATCGGACAGTTAGCCTTGATGATATCAAATTGGTGAAAAATAGCATGAACACGGTAATTAAGTACAGAGTTAGCCAAAAATAAAAAATAAAAATAAAACCATTTAATTGTTGATTGCTACCCACCTTTACCAAAAGAAAAAAAAAAAAAAATTTAACTAGACTAAAATACATATTTATCAAATTAAACCAATTAACCTAACATCACCCTTTTTCTGTTGTTCTTTTTTATCTTGCAGACGATTAATGATGTAGTGGTTGGAGTCACGCAGGCTGCTTTGTCCCGGTATCTAAATAGGAGATATGGTGAGATAAATTTCATTTTCAAGAAAAAAAAAATATTCCTAGGAAAAGTCAGCAGCTCTCTTTTACAGCAACATGATAGTTTTTATTTATTTATTTTTATAGTTAGATACGTACTCACACACACGTCTCATAAATTGCTTATCACAGGGCTGAAACCCCTCAACTCTCTCTCTCAGTGAGGTAGAAAAAGGTTATACCACTAAGCTAATGGCCCATTTGCCCTATAACACAGTTTCATAAACAAACTATTTCGTATTTTTTACCCTTTTTTTTTTTTCCTTCCTATGAGCATCTTTACAAATATATACGTGCTTAAAAAGGTTTTTCAGATTGTTGATTTATATAGGTGGTTTAATTTTATTATATGGCTTTGCAGGTGAGAGTAAGAACAACCCCAAAAAGAAAAATTATCTTCCAACGAACATTCGCCTTAGAGCTATTCTTTTCTTCAACTTAAGACCGCCCGTAGGGATCCGTGTGAGTACCTCTTTATATTTAGAGCATTTATATATAGTTTAAGTAGCTTGTCTTAAAAGAAATCGGATATGATTAGTAATCACCTACAAGTAAACCTTCTGCGAGCCCTCACTATTATCATAATTCATTCTCATAATTCAAAATAAATACAGGATTTGGTTGATCCGATGGAGAAGGGTAAAGAAGGCAGATGGGGAAACAAGATTGGTTATGTCCTCCTCCCCTTCAATATTGCATTTCAAGATGTCCCATTAGACTACGTTCGTGAAGCTAAGTCTCTTATGGATCATAAAAAGGCTTCTCTTGAACCTAATTTTGCATATTTTATAGCCAAGTTTGTTAGCAAGTTCTTTGGCATTAAGGTAATTATACATCATCATCAAACCTTACACACTTACATACTCTACTTGCGATATTAAGGTATCTTCCATATATATATAAGATAAATAGGTAATATTCGAAGAATAATGTCTGCAAAATGATCCTCCTTTGGTCTAAAAATATTAAATCAAATGAATTTGTTTTCAATATATATGTGTTATATATATGTATATTAATGATTATGAAGTGCTTATGAAGAACTTTTTTTTTCTTTTTTCTTTCATTGATAATTATGTGCTTTTGAACTTAATTGCTTCCTTCTATGATAATCAGGCTGCAGGCATTCTCTCACACAAAGTTTTCTATGGAGCGACTATGTGGTTCTCAAATGTGGCTGGTCCCAAGGAGGAAATTGCTTTTTGTGGGCATCCAATAGCATACGTTGCCCCTAGTTGTTATGGTCAACCCAATGTAATTATTCTTAATTAATGAATTACGAACTGCATGCTTTATATATACAGACACACTCACAATTCACAAACACTTAGATATAGAATATACTTTTATGATATACATCACAATAGAATTTGGATGCCTCTATTAAAATTTCGTATTCTCTAACGGACTAACTAGGCTGAATTAAGAAATTTAGGATCATTATTTACATAGACATAGATTCGCAGTGCAACTAATGTTTAGGATTTATTGCCTCTTCGTTAAGCTGACAGTATTATGTACTATATCTGTTACAGGCACTGATGATTCACGTGGTGAGTTATGTTAATAAAATGACTTTTGTTTTATCAGCCGATGAAACAACCATTCCAGATCCACACCAGTTATGTGATGATCTAGAAGAGTCACTCAAGCTCATCAAGAATGCTGTCCTGGAAGGTTAATTGTGTCATTGAGGAGGACTAGAGTGTATGCTATACTGTGTACGTATGGATTATATGTGGGTATGTGTGTGTGACTCTGTATAATATTAATAAAGAGGTTTGAGTGTGCTTAGGGTAGGAGTACGAATTGGGTTGGATGAACCCTTCTTTGGGCCTCATCCACCATAATCCTGTAATTTTAATTCCTGTATTATATGTTTCTAGTATGTTTTAAGTAAGTTGATTGTTTATTTCCAAAATCATACAGTGCAACTCGACCCGAGAGAAAAATCATCTAATCTTTAAACAAGATTTCTCACAATTAATGGAAAGCTCATACATCATAAATTTTCGATGGAGAAATAAAAGCAACCACGATTCAAAATTATAAACAAACAGTATATATGAATATTGTTGGGTTTTTTCACACACAAGTGATAAAGAATAAAAATAAAATTATTGGTGTGAGTAGCAGTGTTTACGGCGATTGCAATTTGCTACTGCCTTGAGTCAAAATTGAGATTGATTTTGGGTTATGTGTAGTAACGTGAAAAAATTTGCTTGGACATATAATGTGTTTTAGTGGTCTCTTGGATGTGGCGTCCAGGTTGGTGGTGTGTTTAGGGTGAATCGTGTTTGACTATAAATGTGGGTACTTGTATTTTCAGAAGACGGTATGCGCTTTGTTGGCATATCAAGGTATGACTGCAGGACGGAGCCCGTGTATGCCCTTTTATAATATCTTTTATTTTTTTAGTTTTTTCTTAATTTACTCTTCAATTTTTATTTTTATTTTTATTTATTTATTTATTTTTTACGCTCCTTTAAATAAATATTTTTTTCTTAACATTGTGCCTCCCCTAAATTAAAATCCTGTCCTTTAAATAATTTTTTTTTCTTAACATTGTGTCCCACTAAACTAAAATCCTAACTCTGCCCTTGGGTATAAGTATTAGGATTAGGGTTGCAAACGAGCCAAACTGTTCGCGAACTGCTTGGGCTCGGCTCGTGAATTACTCAGCTCGATTTATAAACGAGTTGAGTCTGAACATCAATATGCTCGACTCGTTTGTTGATGAACCGTTCACGAATTGAGTTCGATAAGGAGTTCACGAACTGAGTTCGATAAGGAGTTCACGAACATACTCAATTATAATATATATATATATATATATATATATATATATACATATCCAATTATAATATATAATTTTATGTTATGAAGGCTTAGTCCACATGCCATTAAATTTTTTAGTCCTTTTTGTTTTAGACCCAATTTTATCATTTTAAAACAAAAATCAAGCCCATCTATACAATCAAACCTAAGTCCATGTCTTATGTCTAACCCTAATCATGCATCTTCCCTTTTTCTAAAATTATCAGTAACCCAAGCAGCGGCAACACACTCAGCAATCTGTTTTCTGTCATGGAATCTTACTTCTCTCTCTTTTTCTTCTTATATTTTTATCATCTCATCAAGCAGCAGCGGCAACACACTTATGTATTAATCATCTTTCATCCAAACTGAGTATAGATTTTGGGGTTTACTATTTATCTGTGTATCTCTCAACTTCTTCCATCAAAATCAACTATGGTAAGTTTAATTTTCGATCAAATTTATCACTTTCTTTCTCTTTTTCTTTCAAACTTCTCTCTTTTTATTGCTGCAAATCTATTTCTATCTCAATTTTTATTTTTTTTATTTTTTTATTTTTTTTATTTATCTTTTGCTCCAGATCTGTTAGATGCGAAGTACCACAAAAAAAAAGAAAGAAAAGAAAAGAAAAGATTAAACGAGCTATCAAGCTCGGGTCGAGGCTCGTCGAACATAGCCGAGCCGAGCTTGAACCAAATTTTCTCGGCTCGGCTCGAGCTCGAGCTGAACTTGAACATTCTATCACCTGATCGAGTCGAGCTCGAGCACACCATTACTCGGCTCAGCTCATTTGCAGTCCTAATCAGGATGCATGGAGACATATGACATATGCATGTTCACGATGTATCAGTACGTTTGAAGATGCAAGGAATTCATTTCTATTTTCTCTCTCTAGAATTCTTACACTTCAACAGAATAATCCCCTTCTCTATCCATTACTTCTCATATTTATAGATACTTACAAACACTAATGGACTGCTAGATCTGGGCCCGTTCCTCTGTGGGTTTTGGTCATCTTTGATGGGCTATTCGCGTTCGGCCCATATGGCAGTATTTCTCTATGGGCTGGACCCAGCTGCTCGGACCGGATGCCATGTTCGCGGGTCATATCTTACCCATGTCACTTCTGGCCTCCTCAACTGCCCCCATAATTACTCGCTATTTAATAAGGGGCGTCTCATCATGACGTTGACGGCTCGAGAAACTCTTATGGGGGAATGGGCGGTCGGATCCGGAATCAATGTTCCGGGATTCGATAAACTTCTCGCCTCCCTGACGCTTCGGCCCTCGGGTCCACTTCGTCTTTATAAGGCTCTAGAATGCCACTTCATGCCTTTTTACCGTCTCTATCTCTCTCCATCATCAGTCAAATCTCTCGCTCATCTTTTTAGAACAGTGCTAAATTTCATCCGGTGAAATTCTTTAAGAGTCATTCTTCCAGCGATCTTGCAGTGCTCTTTGCTGCTTTCTACCCAGAGGTTAGTCTTGTTCCTTTTTACTTTCAATAGACTTCTTTTTACTCTTTTAGATCCTTCATTCGCTTTCACCATGGTTGTAGATCTAGATGTTCTTCGTATGAGACTTAGACTTCATGACAACATCCAAGTTAGGGTTTGCCCTAGAGATGTTAATATTATGACCGGTGCCGGCCTTCTTCACGGCGAGGTTTTATTTACTAACCTTCAACTGAATGTCGTTAGGTTCCCTCTGCATCCCTTCTTTAATTATGTCTTCAATAGATTGGGGATCTCCCCTCTGCAGGTAAACCCAAATTTCCTTAGAATCATATCCGTTCTGCTACTGCTGATCCGTGACAGAGGTCTGGATCTTGATCTCATAGATCTTCTCCTTTGTTATAAGGTCAGTAAAATCCGTACTGAAGAGCCATTCTACCACCTTTACCCGATCGACAAGATGTCCATATGTACGGATACAATCAAATCTGAAAAGGGTTGGAGGGATAACATTGTGGGTGTTAGTGGGGCCTGGTTTTCGCCGGCTGCAGAGGATTACCCAATCCCGAGCGCCTTTGGCGTCTGTTCTGTCTCCTCGTATAAGAAATTCAAATTTCATAAAAATGATTGTTCCTGCGAAACATGTGTTCCTCGCTTTTGTACTTTCTTATGTCGCTCCTTAGGCATTCCTTGTGATGACTTGAGCTACAGTGTTTGCAGGGATATGAGTAATTACTTGAAGAAATACGTTCTGAACGATATTCCTTCTTGCTCAGACCTTCTCACTTCAGACAACCTTCTAGCACTCTCAGCCCTCGGCCATACAATGAGCAGGCTTCAGATTCCTTCCTTTGGTAGGAGGAAAAATCCTCCCCTAGCCACCATTGTTGGAGCAACCTCCTCTCCCGTATCAGCCTCTTCTTCAGCCACAATTTCTGACACTATCCCGAGTGTAGTGGCTATTGATCCTATTGTTAACACCCCTGCTACCAACCCGAGCACATCTCCACAGATCACTACTACCCCTGCTGCTGCTGGGGGTGTTCGGGACAAAGAACGAGGTAAAAGACCTCATCCTGACGGTGGAGTCAACCTCGAGGATGAATCTCTTACAAGGAGGACCCGAGTTTCTGGGCCGAATGCTCTCTTGCATTGCCCAGTCAGAGCTCCTGCCCCCTCCGGGCCTGTTGCAGCTGCTGCTTCTGCTTCAGCTTCTGCCTCTGCTTCTACTACTGTTTTACCACCATGGGCTCCTCGGTACACCCGAACGGATGGGACGTTCGTGAAGCCGAACGAGACCATGATCAAGGATGGCCAGACCGCCATGGCGTACTATAGGAGCATGTGGACTCCAAAAGACTTTGAGGCAGCAAAGGGTCTGTCACAAAAGGATGTGTTCAGCCGCTTTCCCCAATCTGCCATGGAGGTGACTTTACTTTCTAATCCATTAATCTTCTCATAATATTTGCTCTTGTCTTCGTCCGACTAGGCGATCGGTTTAACCAGTATTCACGCATATCTATGCAGACTTTGTTCGGTATGATGGCTATGCAAAAACAGGTGGAAATGGCGAACGCCAGGGCTCGTAAATTCTCTGATAGCCTGGACGTGGCAAATAAGGAAAACGATATTCTTGCCAACAAGAACACCGAGCTATTAATTAAACTTGAAAAAGCTGAAAAAGAGAGAGATGCTCTGAAGAAGGAGACCGACTCTCTTCAGGATGAAAAAGATGCCCTTCAGCTTGAGAAGAGCGTCTGGCAGACTGAGCGCGATTCAGTCAGAGATGAAAAGGCAGAGCTCCAGCGCCTTCTGGCTGATGAGCAGTCTGCTCGGATGGCGTTTGAGAAAAGAGCTCTGGACGAGCGCAATGCTCTGATTGACACCATTAGCAGAGTGAATGGTGGAATGCTGGCTCTTCATGCTCGGTTTTCAAGGGTTAGAGCTTTTAGATATGCTCAGAGATTCCGAGATGGTTTCTCCGACCGAGTTCCGGCCGAGGGCCAGACCAGTTCAACTCCAGATGAAATTGACAAGGATCTAGGGATTGACCCTCTGGGGGTCTATGTTGACCCAGAATCTACCGAAGCCAAGCACATATTTGATGAGTGTCAGGAGATTGCTTCCTCCAGGATCACTACAGCTCCTTCTACCGTTCAGCCTCTAATCGCTCTTCCTTCGTCAACTGTGGTATCTCCCATAGTCACTGCTGATGTTGGGCCCCAGCTGAACGACTCTGTTATTCATCTCGATTCCCCACCTCGTGAGGGTGAGATGGCTAATGGGAACGAGGAGGTGGGTCAGCATAACCAGGAGGCTGTCGGTATTGAGGCAGCTAGCTAGGGCTCTTCCAGATACCTCGATTTCATACTCTTTTGTAGTTATGTGATTTGAATGCTTCACTTTTTGTAACCTCGAAGCTTATTATGAATGAGATGATAAAACTTTATTTGTGCTATGCTCTGTTCAAACCCACTTTCAATATTTTTTCATATTGATTTTGTCGTGTGCGTGAGTGCCTGGTGTTCGGCTTGAATGCCACTTGCCACTTGGCTTTGCTTTAGCAAGTGTTTGGCGTTCGGCTTATGGTGCCAGCTGCCACTTATCTTACTTAAGTGCCTGGCGTTCG